GGGGGGGGGGGGGGCAGTGGCGAGAGTGGTGTTGCAGAGGTGCTGCTGGCATGACTAACGAGATGGGCGGTGGGTCATGCCGGGCGACGTTAACGGTGTTCTGTAACCACAAGTTACATTGTATGTTGTGGTGAAAAAAAGGGGTGGACGTGACACGAGACACAGCAACCCCTACGTGATTCATCTTGTTTCCAGTCGCCTCTAGACCTCACGCATGCCCTCCTGCCCCAACCTGTTCGAAAAGAGGGGCTTGCAACACTCACACTCACCCCAACACTACCCACAACCGTGACACACATTGCGAGGCAGACAAGACCAATACACGCAGTACAGGACGGCGACGTACCGGCACCGCGCGGTCGGCGAAGTAGACCTTAGGCCCCGGCGTTCCAACCTCCACATCCACTGGGGCCGCCAGGCAGATAAGCAGCTTCGCTCCACCAGGCGCATAGTCCCACGTCGGCGAGAAATCAACGATCTTGGCGATCTCTACGCCGGCACCGGCGCCGCCAGCGCCGCCGGCGCCAGCAAGCCCTCTAGACGCAGGCACATGCATCGCCGCCCCCGAGGGAGACGGAGAGGGAGCCGGCACGCCAGCCCCGCTCCCTTCGTGTTGGAGAACTCCGGGGGAGGAGTTGTAGGCGGTGACTGACGCGCCAAAGTTCCCGGCGGCGGAGGTCCCGCCGCCACCGCCGCCACCGTAGCCCTGCTGATGCTGCTGATGCTGCTGATGCTGCTGCTGCTGCTGCTGGTGCAAGGAAGACCAAGGCGAGCTGAGTTGCAGGGAACCGGCGGGGTGAAACTCGCCGCTGCTGACGCCGCCGGCCGAGCTGCCGCTGCCGCCGTTGTGCACCCCGAGAAAATACCCCGGGGAGGACGGGGTGACCCCGCCGCCGCCGCCGCTGACCGAGGCGCTCCGCGCGTGCATGTTGTTATTGCTGGCGCCGCCGCCGCCGCTGATGGTGGTGCGGCGAGCCTCGCGGCGGGGAGGCGACCCGACGAGCGCGGGGAGCATCCCCATCGGGGATCGGTTGGAGTGCGAGGGCGAGATCGGCCGGAACGGGACGTCCGTGATGCGCAGGCCCTGCACAAAAAAATAGCGACGCCCCGACGCAAAGACGAACGCGCCAAGTCGTCCGGTCCAAACAGAACGCAGCAGCAGCAGCAGCAGCACCGGAAGATTCAGGAAAAAAAACAGAATAGGCTACCGTCAGAGGGGAGGCTGGAGAACGCACAGATATCCCGTTGCCGGTGGTTGAAGGCCGAGTCTTTTTAGGTTTGACCAGTGAGAGAACAAGGGAGATGCAAACGACAAAACATGTGGAAAAAAAAACTCGGCAAGGCGCAACGAAAGGACGGTCGAAAGCTGCCTGACCCCGTCGACTGCTCGGCCAACCGAAACACACCAACACACCCACACAACAAAAAAAAGCCTGCCCCCCGGCCGCAGATTACGGCGGCGCACCTGAGTAGAAGAAGGAATCGGGCCGGTAACCTTGTCGTCGCATTCGGGCGAGGTGTTCGCGCGCCGCCTCATCCCCCCCAAGCTCCCGTTTGCGTCGTACCCTCCCCCTCCTCCTATCCCTCCGAACCTGCTGCCGCTGCTGCTCCCGCTGCCGAGAGCGCTCCCGCCGCCGCCGCCGCCGCCGCCGCCCCCGCTGCCCACTCTCAGGAGGAAGCCGGACGGTGGGGTGAGCTCCGGGTGCACGCTCGACGACTGGCTACCGCTCGAGTGGTTGCCCTGGGAAGAGACCGTCAGGAGGTCTTCGCCGTCCACCAGGAAGGAGCGGAAGAGGTCGTGCATATCCTCGTCGGTGTTGGACCCGTTGGCGCCGGGGTTCGTGTCCCCTGCACCAAGACCCTCAAACTCTGCTGAAACCGTACAACGGCGGAGGGAGGGGGGCAGGGGTTCGATGAGCTGTGCGTGTAAGGCTTGTGCCGTAGGCGGTGCTTTGAAGTTGTCCCTGGGCAGTGCTAAACAACAGCAGTCGACATATGTAGAATTTTTTTAACCCTTAGGGAGCTGGGACTGCCGAAACGCAAAGCAGCATAAAACCAAGCCGTACAAACAGCAGAAACACTTGGCATCCTGTGACGCAAGCACGCAGGACATCAACGCACAGGGCGGGTCATACTATGCTGATGAATTCCTCCGCCGGATACATGAGAGCTACGAAACATTTACAACGTGTCTCACCAAGCCCGACCATTTCGTCGTCCCCGAACGCGGTAGGGTTCAGGCACGCCGCAGCCTGCTGTTGCTGCTGTTGCGCCCCGGCCATCTTTTTAGGGTCCCAGAGAGGAAGTCCCGACGCGGGTTCTGGTTCTCCCCGCGGCGTATGCGGAGAGGACATGTCCGATCTCATCGGAGATATGCCTTCCGTTGCCTCCCGTCCTCTCCCTCCTCTCCCAGGACCTTTCCGGCTGCTTCCATTAACGTTCATCGCGTATATGTCGCTGCCGCCCGTGCCCACCCACACGTTGTTGCGCAACGCCGCCGCTCGGACATCGACCGGGCCTCCCGCGCCGGCGCCGGCCCCGCCTCCGTATCTGCCGTCACCGCTGCCGCCGCCGCCGCCGCGCGCGCCGGGCAGCACCTTTCCTACCCAACCCCCCGTGCCACCGCCGCCGCCCAGAACTCCGCGAGCGAACTGCGAGCTTCCTTCTTGCTTGATCCCGGCGGACGGGGTGCGCGGGGGCGACGAAGACGAAGACGACGACGGCAACTGTTTCTGCGTATGCTGCTGCTGATGCTGCTGCTGCTGCTTCTGCTGTTGTTGCTTCGTCTTCTGCTGTTGCTGTTGCTGTTGCTGTTGCTTTTGCCGCTGCTGCTGCTGCTGCCGTTGCTTGTCCGCGGACGACGGGGGAGCGGAAGCCGAGGTAGAAGCGGGGACAGCCGCCGCCGACACGGTTGCGACGGCGGCTGCGGCCGCAGCCCTCGCCGCCGCCGCAGCGGCGGCCGCGAGGTCCTCCCTTCGGCTCTCCCGGCGCGAGGCCGGCAGGAACAGGTTCCCGTCCGGGGGAAGCTGGGCGCCACGACCTCGCCAGCACTCCTCGCTCGTCAGCGGACGCGCCACGCCGGCGGCCCCGAACGGGCTGCGCCGCGCGAAGCCTCGCGCCTCCTCGTCGTCGAGGTAGTGGACGAGCTGGTCCCCCCAGGTCACCGTCTGGTGGCTCCGGCCGCCGCCGGGGCCAGGCACGGACGGCGGCTCCAGCGCGTAGCGGCGTCTCCAGAAGCAGGCGGAGCCGGACCCGCGGGAAGAGTACGAGTTAACGGCGTGACGTCCGTTCACTTTCATTTTCACGACGTCTTCACGAATCTGGCAGAGACAGGGACGGGAGGGTGGGCCGCGGGGGCAAAGAAAAAAGGGCATCAAACGGGGGCTGGTCGGGAAGCATGTTATGGCGTAACTTTGACTTCGGCCGAACGTGAGTCGGGACGACGTATGTATGAGCTGTGCGGTCCTGGTAGTAAGGCTCAAGAGAGAGGAGGCCCCGTTTGGATCGCAAGCCCAACGGGCGAGGAGATCGGGGGTATCTACAAAAAACACCAAACTGGTACATACAAAATCGACAGCCCGTCCTTGCGAGAAAAGGGACTCCCCTTCAACAACCCGGAATTACCGTACCAGAACAGAACAGCAAGTACAGCAAGTAACCTAAACGCTGGTTCCACGTGGCGATGGGATGGTACGCAGGTGGTTTCGCGAGACTGCAACATCACTTTCGAGAAGAAGAGTCTTGATTTGATGGATGAGGGACGGAACCAGGCACCACAGAAAAATAAAAAGAAAGGCTACACAGCAGTCTCGAATAACATAATAAATGAAGTGGATTTCCGCACCCCGTATAAGATACAAAATCGCTCTTGTCCCTATCCCAGCCTTCACACCCCACGGCAAACGCGCGTACACACGGAGGCTACCCTAGGGAACAAACGCCTTCCCAAAAACCCTCTCGAAATCAGCCAAACGAGACGTACGCTGAGATTCGGTGCTCAATACAGCAGTATTTTAGCAAGGTCATGCGTTTCTCTCGTGGGGAGGTTGTTTGTGTGCGCCGAGGATCACTCTTCCGGACGTAGACGTGGGCAGGAAAGAAGCCTTCCTCGCGGATGCACCCAACAACAAGGGCATTCTTCCTGGTCTTGACAAGTTAAGGACAACGAGGGAAATGTACATAAATGGATGGCAGCAGAACCTGCCACACACGGGAATATTCAATCTCCTACCCCTCAACGAGTCCGAAACGTGACCACCAGCGGTCAAGTGTGGGATTGCAGCTTGCGGATGACGCTCCACCTTCCTCCGGCGTCAATTTGGTTGGTTTCGGGGCTACGCCAGCTGCGTCTACAAGAACAAGTGTTCCAACTGCTGTGTTGCGAACAACCATTCCAAGTTGAACCCGCGGTGGTGCTGTCCGTGTGCCCATTAGCTAGTGCGCATACAAGTAAATGTATGCATTGCAGGACGAAAAACTGAGATATTGCGCAAGAGACGAAAGGGAGAGAGGGCCAACCACCGCCTTTCCTTGGCGGTGCGCAAGCGCTGTGCACTGCCGTGCACTGCTGTATAGTGCACCACCCCTGCTGTCGGGGCGTATGCGTATGCATGTGCGGTACAGCATGCACAACCGGGCTGACAAGGCCCAACGCCGCAAAAAGATTCGTTTCCAACGCGACACGAAGAGTCGCGGCTGCAGTCGTAGAATTAGCACCAGAAGTAGCAGAGGAAAAATTTCCAAGTCCAGCGTACATGAAAAACGGACCTCAAGCGGAACTTACTTGTAGGCGGTGTTTCTCTCCGGCCGCCCCGCACCATCACACCATCCAAACGAACCTTTCCAACTCATGTCCAAAACTGCTCGTATTCTTTCGGCTTCCAGACACCCCGCTCGCCCCAACTGGAGTGCGAAATCCTCAAATACTCTTCAGGCACGTCTCCTTTACAGCAGGCCATCTATTCTATTATCGTACCAAAAGGGTACATGTTCCAAAGTGGTAAAAAATGTCAAGATCGGCACAAAGAAAAAGGGGAGAAAAAGAGCCGGCGTGGTCTCACAGAATGTCTGAGAGCCAAACGACGCCATTTCCCAGGCCAAAGATGCATACTCTGGATCCACAGCCGAGGGTGGGCGCGCAATCCAACCAGAGGAAAGCAAAACATCCAGCGTATCGGATTGTTTTTATACACATAGTTTGGCCTCTGTTGTTCAACCACCATTCATCCATTGCTCTCCCATGATGTCTGGTGTGGAGTGTGGAATATACATCGAACTTGCTCCCTCCCATAGTTACCCCCCCTAGTGTTTTTAGCGAGAGACAATCCGTAAATTCCCATTCAAACAAGCGAGGAGGTCCCCAGACAGCCAGCCAGGTGTAAGCACAGCGAAAGACGTACACAATGATACACACGAGGATACTGCTGTAGGATTGCCGTAAACTTCTGTGCGGAGGTTCTTTGGAGAAAAAATAGCCCAGCGAGTAAACATGACACGACGGTCATCGGGTTTGCAGCACTCACCCGGTTGGAGCCTTGCGCTGCGTTGCGCTTGACGTAGTCGATTCCGTCATGCTTGAGCACTCGAACCCGGTCCTTTTCGAGCGTCCAAAATCCCAGAAGCAGCAAGTACACAAACAAAAACAATTGCCGCGGAAAGCAAGAAAGAATATTTAGCCATTTTTCTTGTTGCTGTTATGGGCGGAGAGCAAGCGAGAGACGAGAGAGAGGATCATCCGCGGCAGAAAAAACACGCCACGTTGAAACATTATCGGCAAGTCAAACAAAACTCTCGTACAATCTGGCGCGATTTCTTATCGCACGGAGGGGCCGGGGGAATGAGAGAGACGAGGCCGATAGGAATCGGGAGTTGTTAGAGAAAAGGGACCAATCGGCAGGGGGCTGGCGGAGAGAGAGCGTCAAACCACGCGATCTCGTCCACCAGCAAGGGACGGCGGTGTTGTTGATTTTCGAAATTCGGAAAATGAAGGGGAAACTTTTGCATTGGGTGTGTGACGTGTTTCTGGTTGTGATAGAATTTTCAACGCCAGGGCCGGGGGATGGCGGACGGATGAGAGGTGCAAGGAAATCATGGCGAGCCGACCCCTGCGACCTTCCCTACCACGACTAAAACCTCTTTAGGGTTGGGGGGCGAGACGGCATTCCGCGGCCCTCTATAAAGAGAAAAACTCTCAAGACCTCTTCGATCACCATCTCAAACTTCCAATTCCGCGGACCCTGCTGCATCACGGAAAAAGAGGATCTATCTGCCTCCACCATGTCCTACTCTCATTTTTGCTGTTTTCGCAGTTGGAAAATTTAACATATAAACGCACCGCGCCGCAGCAAAAAACACTCGTTGAATTTCGGAGCTGTGGGGGGCCAGCCTCCCAAAAAAACGGCTGTTGCTTACAAAGCCCACGCCCCACGATGCACAAAGATCGCGCACGATTCCACCGAGCAGTGGGAGAGAGCAGATCCAAGGGCTCAAGCTTTCAGCTGTGTGCGCCTACACACACATCTTTTTCCAAAGAGCGAATTAGCAAATTAGCTGCATTTTCGCACTTGTCCTGGGGGAAAGAGGTCGCACAGCACTTCGAGACTCACCTTGGAGCATAGGTACACGGTGCCGTTCGCGATACCCTCTGCCGGCAACACCTCGGTCCGCACGAGACCGAACTTGAGGGGATCGGAAAGGATAAGCACCACCTCCTCCTTGTTCAGTCGGCGGCACCGCGCCACATGCCGGAAGCAGCCAGGCCAGTTTTGCGCAGCATCCTCCGCTCCTCCGGCGGTAGCAGCAGGCTTCGAATGCAACGGATGCATGCTGGATTCTTGTTCGTTCACAACAAACGGGCGCGCTCAGAAAAACACCTGTCTTTTCCTCTCTGCCCCCCTCGCTCTCCTTAGCGAGAGTAACCCTAAAACTTCTAGCGCCGTGATCCCTTGCCAAGAAGGGAAACTCTCCACAGAGCGGGGGTTGTCCTGTCCTGGATGTTTGTTTGAGCGCTCACAATCGTGCTGTACTCCTTTTTTTGGGAGGAGGTTTTGGCCAGCAAAGGCGGCATATAAAAAAAAGTTTTTTTTTTGCTTTTGATCAGAGCTTTCGCGCGAGAGATAGATGGACAGAGACACAGGAAAGAGGGTCCCGCTGTCCTGCAACAAGCTCCGACAGGCAGGGGTCCCCCATCGCGAACCCCCCCGTAGAAACCTAAGGGTCTCCGTCCCGTGACCCCAACAATCCTCTGTCCCTCGCTGCTACAGCTATCGAGGCCAGGCTGTGGGAGGAGGCTACTGATACGTGCCGGACACGGCGGGTGTGTGTGTGTGTTGTTATCTGCTGCAGCGAGAGGGGCGGGGCTCTTTTTTTGGGGGGGAAGGTCTCTCGCGCTATCTTATATGCTCGAAATCGACAACGGCAACAACAACTCGCGTGTTGTGTTTTATCTCGCGTATAGACAAGCAAGTGAGTCATGGACCGGATAAGCTTTGCTCGCCCGCAGAGAGCCTTCTCCCGGAACAGCAACAGCATCAGCACCACGACGAGCATCGGCCAAAGCAGAGTAGGATCCTACTCCGCCGTGACATCGAATGGGGCGAGGTTCGAATCCATAGGCACAAGTGGTGGGGCGGCGGTGGTGGTAGGTGGCGATGGTTTCGGAGACGGGCCACGGCAGCAACAACGTCTTTCGGGTTGGATGCCTGGAAAGCTCTCAGGGTGCCGGCAGTGGCTTGAGGTACGCGGGGGGCGTCCAAAGAGAACCGCCGGAAGTGATTGGATTGGCATGAAAGGGAGGGGAGATCCTCAAATGGCGTTGGTTGTCTGGATGCCTCCTTTTAGGGAGAGAGAGGTGGCATCAGCAGATAGATGTAGATGGTGAAAAACACGGCAATATAGGTAGGCTGATCGGAGAGAGGGAATCGAGAAATCCGACTCGAGCTCAGAGTGCATTGCAAGTTGGTACTACACGGTCGGTGGCTTGGCCAACGACTATCGTAGTCGGTGCAGCGGTGCTATGCATAATGCTACTTTTACTGCCATGCGTGTTGTAGATAGAGGGGAGGTGGTACAGTATATTAGTATTGGTGCTGATGTGCTACGTTCTGTTTCGCACCTGAAACTGACCGCCTCTGTTCCACTGCTGCTTACAAGTGGGCGCCGCAAGTATCATTGTAAGCCTGTGGCCAGCCAGCCAGCCCGTCATGCTGATCTTGCTTGCCCCGAATCATTTCATGTGTCATACACCCCATGGAAAACAGCAGCAGTTGTTACCGTTGTGTTAGCCTTTACTTAGCACCAGCTGGCGTCACTGATATAAATCATTAGTGTAGAAATAGTAAGTCCAGTACCCAGCCGGTTTTCCTCACTCACGAAAAGACTCCACCACATCCCGTTCGGCTGTGGGTATATCTCGAATGGGTAGTCTTTCTGTGTGTGTATTTATTTTTTCTGACGCCGTTCGTGCTTAACATGGTGGGGTGTACTACCGCTGTAGATGGGAAGCATGCCACATAATTGGTTGCTTTTCGAACGGCCTTTGGACCCTCGCGCCTGTACGTACACTTCATGACGCATATCATACATAGGACAACATGTGAAGTCACGGTACTCAAAAATGCACATCCTTTTACATTGCATCTGGGCCAACCCACGCTGCTGCAGGTAGGCGCCGTGTACCGCGGGGAGGTCCCATGCGCTTCTGGCTTGTCTTGTCATCGCGTTCGAAGCGTGTAGATTCCGAAATTCAACGTCTACAACCAGGCGGGCAGAAACATGAACATATAGAAGCACTTCAATACCGGCATTCTTTGGGCGCTTAACACATTGTGCAGCGCTCTTCACCCCCGGAAAAGAACGCCAGTAGCCAAAGACGCTACTCACCCACTTGCCTGAGTTTTGGGACCAGAGCCGACCCAGGTTTCCTGCCGTCCAAAGAACTCAGAATTGTCGCACATATATTTTACAGTAATTCTCTCTGCGCGCATGCTTCCAGGAGGAGAGCGAAACAACGAATGGGCGAGCTTCTTCCATCAGCCAAAGATCGGGCGCTCTCACGCCGGCGGGCGACCTGCCGGATTACTTCGCCAAGGAAGTGCTCAAGCTTACGATGCGATCAGCCGCAGAGCTCGAAACCATCTTGTCTGAGGTGGGCAGTTTCGTCTCAAAACAAAGTTTATGTTTTGGACAAAGGAAGGAATAAACGCAGGAAACTCCACATACGATGTTGCTGCGGCGTTTTGGCACAGACAGCTGATGTTGATAGATGTTTACATGTTCTCTGATACAGCAGCTGAATGAGAGGACAACGTTAGCTTTCCTAACGACCGACTGATGGCGCTTACGCCTCCTTTTCGAGTTGGCGTTGGGACTCAAGCGGTGTTGGGCCGCCAACACAGCGCTCCTTACGTCGAAGGTGATTCTACGCATAGCATGCGCTGTGATGACTACGCTCGTCGTCAAAGCTCCATGTGTTACGTAGACGTTCTTGCACTACAACTGCTGTACTCTGTGAAAGGGCGCACGTTCGTGGCGGGCGAACAAACAGGGAGATCTTGACCGTCGTTATGCCGCTGCGCGTGTGGCAGGTTGGGGCCCACGACGCGGAGGGGGCAAGAACGCGCGTGGTGAACGAGGTGCTGTCAGCTGTGAGGGGGGCCTGCGAGGCGTGCGTGAGGCAGGAGAAGGAAGAGAGGGACACTATCCTGGCAAACATCCAGCAGGCCAAGGTGAGGGTGGTTGGTCTCGCCGCTCTGTGCGCTTTCAGCCAACCTGCTTTTTGCCTGCCGGCGGTGCCTCCTAGGTCTGTCCGCCTTCTTGGGGTTCTGGTAGACAGTTTTGGCGATGTGTAGAAAGTTTTGGCGAAATGTGCATGTGAAAGAGCCGTGTAGGTTGCACAGAGGAGCGTGTGACAATGCAGTCCTTTGATTTGGGGTGGCGGGGGGGTCAGCCCCTTATTCGTCCACAGCTGCTTCCAGAGGCAGTGTCGGAAGCGTCAGATGGCCACGTGCGAATACGGCAACTTGGTATTCTGGCCATGAAAGGTGCGAGTTGGACTGGGGAATAGCGCGAAAGGCAACGCACACGCACGAAGAGTGAGTGTAGAGGAATGAGGACCATTTTGCGCGTGTTGTGCGGTTGCGCGACGCGCCTGTTGCACCCTCGCTCAGGCGGAACACTTGCCTCTTCCCTGCCCCCCCGGGCGTGCACGTCACCACGTGTACACCCCACCTTTTCATGTCCTGGTGCTTGCTGCGGCAACAACGACGAACCTGATCCCTCCCGATGGACATGCCTTGCGCGATGGGATGCTCTTTGTCGCATGTTGCGGTTTGGTGGCAGGATGACATCATCGAGCTCAGCCGTAACCTGGGCATTCCCACCCCCGGCGAGGGGGAGCCGACAGAGACGTTCTTCTACTGCAACCAAGTGGTAAGAAAATTGGCTGACTGCTTGTTGTAGCTGACCTACCTGCCTTTGGGACGACTTCTTTGTCGAGGTTGTTTCCTGGATTTACCGGGCCTGTCCGGTGTTTTTTTGTGTGAGAGAGGAGCGGTGCTGAGTGTCCTGACTATCTGCAGGCAGGACCAAACGAGATGGAGTCCTTCGGTACGCAACTGTGAAACTCCATTTCGACGCCATCTGTAAGGCATGCTGGCCCACTGGTATCGGTATGCCTTGCGCCGACCTCCAAACTCGCGCCATGCTATTTACCCCTTCCCCACTCACCCCTATCATGGAAGAAGTGCTCTCTCCCTACGTACGTGCGCCGATTAAACCTATTTACATTTCCTCTAAATAACTGTCTATGTCCGTCCCGTCCGTCACATGCATTTACCCATGTTTTTCTTTCTAACTTATCCCCATCGCAAAAGCTGGACACCCACTTCGACCGGCTGGTGAACCTGGAAACGACGCTGGACAGCTTGAGGACACAACAAGGGGACCGTGGACGGGCCGTCGAAAGCATCGTCAAGGAGATGGAGACCATCAACGAGAACATGGACCGAAAACCGGAGGCAAGACGGAACTGCTGTTGTAGGCTTGGGGTGCTTGGTTGGCTACGGGGCGTCCTTGGGAAATGCGGCGCGCGCGACCGCGATATTTTTTATAGAGTTTGCTTCTTGCGGAGAGAGCGAGAAAGCTGTAGGTATTATCTCTGGAGGCAGCTCCTGGCATCCCTTTGGAATCCTGATGATGCGCAAATTAGAAAAAAGTGCCTGGAGGAGTGCGGTGGCGAGCCACGGGGAGACTGACCGCCCCCCCCCCCCCCCTGCATTTGCAGACCACAACCCGCTCAGGCGGGTGTGCATCATGGTGGCTGTCAGTCTCGGTCTCTGTTTTCTGCGCAGCAGCTACATTATTCTGTCCGCGTTTCCTCCCTCTCTGCCCTTTGTTGTTGCCTCCGCGCCCCGCCCTCTCTCGCTTTTTTACCGAGTTCCTTTGCTTCCTTCCGTGCATGTTTTTTTTATTTTTTTCTCTCTCTCTCTTAGGACGGGGAGTTCGAGGAGTCCGGAGGGCCGGAGTGGGCCGGGAAGGAGGGGTGGGAGCTCTCGGAGGAGCGGCTGGAGACGCTCAGGGGACGCCTGGCGACGCTCCGCGTGCTGAAGCTGGAGAGGGCGGCCGAGATGATCGGCCTTGTGGTGGACTGTCAGAAGCTCTTCAGGGAGCTCGGGCCGCCGGTGGAGAACCCCCTACAGAACAAGGTGGGCGAGCGAGGTTTTGCGTGTTGTGTGTTTCTGCCTGCCATGAGTGAATGTGTCGGTAGGTTCCCGCGGGAAACTTAGGCATTTTTTGAACCGGGCATGCACGGACTTTTGGTTGTTGTTCCCGTGGGAAACATGGACGTTTTTTTAACTGAGCACGCGTTGTATGGTGACTTTTTTTTTTTGGGGGGGTTCGGCATTGGATTGTTCGCCAAGCTTGCCCTTAACGGAACACGCTCCAGGGCAATAGAGACAGTCAGTCAGTCCCCCCGCGAATTTTGCGGCGAGCGCACGTGCCACGGACGCCTGGCGAGCTCGGGATGTGCGCGGTAAAGCACGAGCCTGCTGCGTTCCGCACAGAACGAATCGCGAGAAAGCACTGGCTGCCGCCAGAGAAGATGCGCCAAAGCACCAAAACATTGAAGCTTCGTCGCATAGTTCTCGAGGATTGTTGTCGAAAACAGCATACCAGTACCTTAGAAGCAGTGCCGAAGTGTGACTGCATGTGTACTGTAGTAGCCAGATACCCGAACAGTACTGTGGGTACTCGATCAACTGCATACAAGCGCAGTCAGCAATCGGGCAATACTCAGAGCGGTTTCATTTTTGGTTTATCGGGATGGTGGATGGTGCGGACGGCACTGCTCTCTTGGCGTGCGTGTTGTGAAGCGCACTGCTTTGCAGACCAGCAAGATGGAAATCGAAATGAAACAGCAGCAGCAGCAGCAGCAGCAGAGCAAAAATAGGGACAGTCACTGGCGCTAGGCGGCTTGCCAAAGGCTATGTACGATGTACGTTTTTGACGACATTGCATCGACGGATGGCTTCCGCACTCCACGCACGTGTTGTGTTGTGGTCGGCTGTGGTAGAAAGGAACGGTTCTCATGGCCAGCAACAAGTGTTGATGGGTGAGTGGCACCACCGCCTCGTGCTACTGCAGCACTCGGGACCTGGTGTCGTCACCTTTATCTTTTTTTATTATCTTCTCGGTCTGGAGTGGTGGCTGCCGAAGGACATGGATCGATTATGAATGGATTCTCTTCCCCTTCATGGGAGGCAATGGGCTGCTTCGTTGTCTTGCTCCGGCTTCGGTGACGAAAGTAACCATCGACGCTGATGACGGGTTGCTGATGCGCGCAAGATGGAATCAATTTAATCTCTGATTAGCCTGCAGGTGCACTCTCGATCAAGAATAACATCTCTTGAAACTCAACCGCTTCTCAACCCAATCTCACAGCAGTGCTATCCAACGGTACGAACGCGTCCGAGACCTGCGTGCCTACATTTCGCCCTTGGGGTTTCCGAGGAAAGAGGCCTTGCCGAATCGCAGCAACGGGAATTGTGGCAACAGGTTGAGGCTGTGCATTGGTATTTACAGGCTCAGGTGTCCTGTCCCCCGTGCCCATATACACTATCGCTCTACAATAGCTTAGTCTGTATTCCCTTTATTTTTTTTCGTTGTTATTTAATACCCTTGATCGCTTTGTCTTTTTCCTTTGTGCGTCTGTTTTGTTTCGCAGATGTTGATGTCGTTGGATCCGTCCTGCCCGGTGGACAAGCCGGCTCTTAGGACGGAGGCACAGACGCAGACGAGCGTCGGGCTGAGCGTGTTCAACGTGCACAGGCTCAAGAAGCTTCGGGAGGACATGCGGGTGAGTGCTGACTGCCTGCGGGCTGGATGTGATGTGTGTTGTCGGAAGGATGGTCGGTTACAACATAATGTGATGGTCGGTTACAATTTAATGTGGTGGTCGTTCGTGAATTGACACCGTCCTTTCCCTTTTTTTATCAGTGTCGTAATGCACGTGTTCGTCAAGTGTGCGCGGCCTTACAAGTAACGGTTTGGGACACAGTTTGTTGACGCATTACAATAAAGAAGCTTCGAGAAAGGGGATAAGTTCCAAGTATTTTCAGCAGGTGCTGGCTGTTGAGGGAACGCCTGCTTGATTTGAGTGTGTCCCAAGTCCTCGCACTTGGGTCAGTGATGCTGGCTGGCTTTGTTCTTCCGTGCGGTCATGCGCGTGCAAATGCTCTTTGGTGGACGCCTTTCGTTGCGGGGAGAGTTTTTTGTGCCCGGTGTGGGAAGCAGAGGAGGGCGTGGGGAGGGTTGACTGCCAAGTGCACGCTTGTTGTGTCTCCTAAATTGTGGCCTGGGCGACTGCTGTTTTGGTGAGGAGGAGGGAAGAGGAGGAGGCCCGTCTCTATTTCTGTGCCTTGGAACTATCGTAAGCTCGCTTGTCCGCCTCCCGTCTGGGGGGCACCGGCTTGCGCTCAGGAAGATTGATTGTCCACAGCGGCTGACGCTACCGGCTGTCGCCGTTGCCGCTGGTCATTTGGACGAGGGCCCTGTATTTTTATCCCTCCACCCCCGAAGTCGGTCCTACTTTTCCTCCTAAGCCTGTCGGCCGCCATGGCTGTTTTTTGTTTTTTTTTTTCCGACAGGAGGATCGCGAGCTGCACACGCAGCGGAAGAAGGAACACAGGCTACAGATTGAGAGCCTGTGGGAGAAGCTGAGCGTGCCAGAGCGGACCCGCCAGGTATGGTACGGTGTGTTGGTGTGTTGTGGTGCTGCCTGCGCCCGTGGCCTCGACGGGAGCTTAGATCATACATTACCAGCCGCGGGAAGCGTGGTCGGGTCTGCCGGGGTAGCGGGGACGGGCTTTTCCGGTGCCTCCAGTGTGCCCCCCCTCTCTCCCCCCCTGTCACTCTGTTGTCTGCGGCTGGCTACCCCGAAATCGTCCGGGTGGGGTGCTACTTGTTGGCCTTGCCTTGTGCCGCTGCGTATGCCGCTGTTGTTTGCGACTGCGGCAGCGGCAAGCAGCTTGAGTACGGGATGACGCAGAACACTCGGGGCGGTTGTGTGTAGGTCACATGCTTCCCGGTTCTAACCAGTCGCATACGATAATCATGAGCAACGACAAATAAAAATGGAACTGTGCTGCAATTGGTGATGGCGAAATAGCTAGTTTCTTTGTTCTGGCGGCCGCAACAGTGGTGGCCTTGACAAGAACGGAGCGCCGCCGGGCCTCGCGTACCGGCCACGAGGGACGTATGTAGTCTCTGCTTTGTTGCTTGAAGGCTTTGACGGTTTGTCTTTCGTTTCCTCGTGGTGGACGTTGGGGGCTCTTCTATCCTCAAACTCCAAGGGCACGTTGACAGCGGCCTACCTGCCTGCCTGTAGCCTCGCCGTCGCTCTCCCCTCCCCATCATTCATTCCAAAGCGGACGGTGTCGACTTGTCGCGCCAGGAGCACCTGGCTGCAACGAAGGGGATAACGCACTCCGACATGGATGAGCTGGAGTCGGAGCTGGCTCGGCTGAGGAAGCTCAAGGCCGAAAAGCTTACGGACATGCTTAAGGCCGCGAGGGAGGAGATCTCGGATTTGCTAGAGGTGAGTGTGAGCCCTACGGAAGAAGCTTCACGCGTGCAGTAGTAGGTTCGTCACTGGAACGGCAGGGTGAGCGTCTCTGTGCACCTCAATTAGTTGGCACCAGTGCCGATACATGCGTTGTGTGTTTTTTTGGTATTATAGTGAGACGACTGCTGCTGTACGTTGACCTAACCAAGCAGTACTTCAATAATTATTTTTTTAGTGGCGTGTTGGTTCTCTTGTGGAGTTTGTTTTGCAGCCCCATTTCGTTCATCTCGGTTGTTGTGGGGTTGGCCATCTTAAGAGGCACGGTGGGACTGTACAGGTATGACAACGTGCACATCGGAAAACACGACCATGGGGGTACGTGGATAGTTGGTGCCGTGCTGCTGTTTTCGGTCGATCTTTAATTAACGACCATGGGGGTACGTGGATAGTTGGTGCCGTGCTGCTGTTTTCGGTCGTCTTTAATTAGCGACCATTTCTTGAGGGGTTTTGCACCATGTGCCGCTGTCCAAGTTCGTTCCTGTTTGGCTGTCTGACCTCACCCCCATCCTCTCCTCCATTTCACCGGTGCCGAAAAGGTCGTTGGCGCGAAAGCGGAAGAGGTGCTCGGAGAGAGTGCCCGAGATTTGCACGTGCCGCAGGGCCTGTGGACGGAAGACCTGCTCGAGGGGCACGAGCAATTCGTCAAGGACCTCAGGGCTATGGGTGACCGGGCGGCTCCCATCGTGGAGAAGGTCAAGAAGCGCGAAGAGCTCGTGCAGGTGGGGGGGACATGGGCAACAAGCGAGGGGACGGGGCTGCACTCGTGTTTTGCATCCCGTTAGCGGTTAGGGCATTGAACACGCTTCCCCGGGAGTGGGGGCGAGGTAGAACATAGAACGCTGCTGTACGTGTACGGAAGAGAGAGACACACACACACACAGAGCGAGGTGGGTGGCGGACCCCGACCTCATGCCAGGCCAGCCGGGGGGGTTGAGCTTTGTTGAGGGTTGTCGTACATCACAAGACGCACCCCTTTCGAAGGGAGTGGAAGGGAAGGGACCGAATGTTCCGAAAAGGGGGGGGATGGGGTCAGTCAGCCCGAACAGATGATCATGGTCAACCCCGGGGCCTTGCAGAAGGCTTACCGTTGCGTGGTGCTGTTCCGTGGGTGTGAAGTACTATAGCCTCGGATTTTGGTCCACAACCGGCGTTGATCAGTTGGCAAGCACAGGACGCATTCTGCACGAATTTATTTATTTTGGTCATGCATGCGTCGGTGTGTGTTTGTGCGTGTGTGTCGTGCTCGCGTGGCAGAAACGGGAGCTCGCGGACTCGTTCAAGTTGAACTATCGCGCCAGGGGCGGCTCGGGAGTTCTCTCACAGGTGCGAACGGTAAGCGGTGGGATGGTGGATCGATCGAAACTGAGAAGGCCAGAACCTTGCTCAGCCGCTTGCCAGCGTGGATTGCCTCTCCGATTTCAAGATGTGGTTGGGGTGCTGTCGAATTTAGGGCAAAGAGTATGGCAGTATTACGGCACAAATAACAGATGGGTTTTGCTGCTGTGCTCCTGCGGTGGATCCGACACAACCGTGGTGTCCTATCTTGCGTGTACAGCCGTATACCACAAGCTCCCGTTGGCGCGTCCGTTCGGGGTAGGTTTGTCTGCCTCCGTTGTGCTTAGTGCCGAAGGTTGTCGCTCGTTCGGCATCACACATTTCGCCTTGTCGCGTGGTCGTGTTTGCTTGTTTGCGCCATGCCATCCCATAATATCGGGTGTTGTGGTGTTGTATCCGGCTGTACAAACTGCTTACCCTCACCTTACCTCTTACTCCCTGGAAGGCCAAGGTGATCGATGGCATCAACAAGGACCTCAAGAAGCTGCCTAACCTGACTACTCTCTTGAGGAGGGAGCTTGGCGCCTGGCAGAACGAGGAAGGGTTCCCGTTCCGGTGAGTTTCGATTCCGCCGCGTTTTTTTGTTCTTGTCCACAGCAGTTGTTGTTGTCGCACCACTGCTTTTGTGGCGACCCGTGCTTGAAGTCTCAAGATTGACGTGTAGTAGAACCCCCAGTGCCACCATCGCTGTACGTTTTTTTCTACCCTTGTGTTCGATGTATTCGCGAAGCCTGTTGTAGGAACAGCAGTTATTTCCAGCTGCTGACTACCTACTCCTCCATAGCATCGCCAGGGCGCACCTAGCCTGGTGCGAAGAAGCATCAGCCTGACACAGGCAGGTGTTGCGAGCTGAAACGGGACGGACAGGAGGATGCTTGTTTGCCAGGAACCAAGTATGAAATTCAACAATAATCCGACGTTGGGAACTGCCAGAAGACGGCCATCCGTTTCCGCTCGGGAGCTGGCTGCCTCTTCTAGCGTACCAGTTGCCTCCCTCTGACACAAACACACACCTCTTTGTACCTCGACAAAACAACGAACCACGGCGGGCGCAGGTTCAACGGGCGAGAGTACCTCAAGACAATCGAGGAGTCCGACATGCAGTGGCAGCACCGCAAGGAGACCCGCAAGGAAACCAGCCGGCGGGAGAGAAACGCCCCCGGCGGCGGGGGCGGCGGCGGCGGAGGCCCGTCCTCCCCCAATCGCGCCGCGCTCCACAACGGCGTGTTCCACAGCACCGGCAGCATGGCGTTCGGCAGCGGCGTCCCGGCGTCACCGTCCCTGCACCGCCAGACCAGCAGCCGCAGCGGGGGCGCCGGGAGCAGCTCGGGTGGGGGGGGTGGGGGCTCCGTGATCGGGTCCCCTTCGCCGCGAAAGAAGGGCGGCGGCGGAGGCGGCGGCGGAGGCGGTAGCAGCGGGTGGGGTAGCGGACAGCTGAACGTTTCGACACCCGGGAGAGCCGCGATGGGGCGGACCGGAAGCGCCAGCAGTAGCAGCAGCGCGGTTAGCGCCGGTGGGGGGCCAATGGTAGATTCTCGCGGGACGGGGGTGGCGGCGGGGGGGGGCCAAGGGGGAGGGGAGGGCGCGAGGGCGGCGGTGGGGGGCGGCGGCGGGGGACCCGGGGCTGGGGGCGGGGGGGAGGGGGGCAAGGACCCGGCCGCGAAGTCGCTCCCGAGCACGCCCCAGAAGGAGGCGCGAAACCCCCTGCTCATGACGTCGTTCACGCCGTCGCCTACCTTCAAGGGATCGAAGGTGGCGCGCATGGCAGCCACCTTCGCCTCCACAGGGGGCTCGCAGTGAGTGATTTTGCTGTACATATGTGTGTGTGTGTTTTCTTGGCGGGGTTTGTGTTACGCGCTGATTTGGTAAATCCTGGAAACTGTTTTCTTTTTTCACGTCCAAAGGCGTTTGTTCTTGACGCCGTTCAACATCAACAGGGCACGGACGGTGTTGAGCGCGTGGGTGTTCATGTGTTGCCGTTGCTTGTTACGTTACCCAGTGGGTTGGTTTGTCCGCATAGGCACGAAAACGGGACACCGGGAAGAAATCGTGGCTTATTTGCGGTTTTGACAACAGATCCTTTGGCGGACCACGTATCGCAAACAGCGCAGCCCAGAATATGCTATGGTTGACGTGTGTTCTTGATGAAAAGCTCGCGGGGCGACTTGTACTATTGCGATGATTGGTGGGGAAGTTCCCACGAGACGCAGCAAGTGACTACCATGTGTTAAATGTTCGTGCGTCACCGAGGTTGTGGAGAATGGAGAAGCCAAGGATTCCACAGCGCATACAAAATTGTGTTGCTTGCATCGCAATACCACCTAACCTAGTGATCGATTGAATCCGCTTCGTCGGAAAACAAACTCCGTGAATACGATTGATGATAGCGCCTATTTCTGATGTCTTGCCCCCCCCTCCGCCGCCGCCGCCGCCGTTGCTCCTACCCGGCAGCCGTTTGCCGCCGCCGCCTCTCCCAGCGCGACCGGTCTCTGTGGAGCGAGCTGCGCCTGCCTTGTTGGCGAAGCTGCAGTCCAGCCCCGACCTGGCCCGAGGGGCGGGGAGTGGTAGTCCCGGAGGGGCGATGCCGCCGCCGTTGCCGGACAGGCCTTCGAACGCCGCTTTCGAGAAGGCGGACTTGCACGCCATCCGCGAGTCCAACGCGAGCAGTCTGAGGTGAGGGAAGGGAAGGAGGAGGGAAGGGGCCGCACCGGGGTTTTCGCCGGAGGTTGTAAAGAGTGTTTGTTTGCTTGCAGGGGTGGGGCGACGGTGTCGGCGATGGTTGATGTTGTTGTTGTTGTTTTTGTTGTCGTCGATGCATCAGTCCGCACCCCGTGGACTCTCCGTTGACTACTGTGTACGCACGAGCGCACGCTGTGTTGCCACTGTTGAAACAACCCTTCTACCGCGATACATATTCTTGGCACCACTTCCACAGCAGATTTTGTTGTGTCAAGCCGCCGTCGCCTTGCGTGATTGATTGGGTGGGAACCCCACGAGAGTATGAGAGCGCGCTCTCGTTGCACACGGTGTGTACTGCAGGGGGAGAATGGAGGCAGTGCGAGCGTGAACCGCACACGCCCCCGCTTGTTGAGCTATATAGTGTATCGCTATTTGGCGTGGTGGCCGCAGTAAACCACCTTTCCCGAGAGGGTGGATCCCCTCCCCTCTCTCTCGTTCATGACCCCCTTACATTGCTGATGTGGGTGACTCTTGGTCCCACCCGTCTGTACTCGTTACGCGACGCGGTGGGTAATTTTTCTCTCGTTTTTTTGAAGAAAATTTTTCAACTCGCTCTCCGACATTTGACGGGGTCTGATTGTCTGATTGCTTTGGATGGTTTGGATTACGCGTGTCTCACGCTCGCTGCTGGTTTGGGTTGCGCGTGTTTCATGCTCGCTGGTTTTGGATGTACGCGTGTCTTGCGCTCGCAGGTCTTCAGCGTCCGCGTCGGACGTGCTCAGCGGCGGCAGACGCACGGAGACCTCCACGCGTTGACGGCGCCAAGAGCGGCGGTGATGGGTGAGGGCGCGTAGTCCGTGCGTCATCGCCAAAATGGTTCACGGAGCCCCCCCCCCCCTCTCCCCTCCCCGCGCGCGCGCATGCTTCCACCCTGGCTGTTCCTAATTCTGCAATTTTTCTTTCATTGACTCGTATCTAGGTTTCGCGAGTAGCTGTTATTGGCGGCGTCCTGGTGCGGGTGTTGTTGTTGTTGGTATTGTTGTTGTTGTTGTTGTTACTGGGGTTCTTTGGCTTGCTGTCTGCGTGCGGTGTTGGCGCGGTTGCGGCCATGTTATCTCCCAAGGGTTATGCCATGGTTTCCAATGGTCTGTGAACGCAGGGTGGGAAGTGGAGCATGAACTTTTGCCCCCCAAAATGTGAATAGGGGCAGCGGTGCAAGAAGACGTGTGTGGGTGGCACGCGCCCTACGTGCTTGTCCTTGCCACTCGTGCACACGAAGGATGCACGTCGTGCTGCCTTTTGACAATTATCAGTACCGGTAGGGGGGGGGGGGGGGGGGCACCGGGTAGGAGACCTCCGCTGCTGGGACTCTTGTTGTAAAATATGTTTGTAGAGGCTCTGCTCTTCTCGTGCGTCTGCCGTTAGTGCTGCGATAGATGACGTTCGTTGATTAGAGGGCAAGGTGTTTGTGTACCCTAGAGTTCCCCTGGTAAAAGTGCGTGTGTCCTTTGTGTGTCCTCGCGTTGGAAGCCAGGGGTGCTGCCTGGGACGTTGTGTTCTCCCTGTGGCTGTCCTAGCTTTGCTCTCCCGTCGGCTATTGCTTGTACACTGGAAGTGGGTTGTTTGCGGCGTTTCACGTTGGCGCGGTGCTTACTTCGCTGGAACACGGTAGTAAAGCGGCACGCGCGCGTTACGTTCAGCAGGGGACGGGGAGACAAGAGTCGTTTGTTTCTCGGAGCTTTCGTTCCGTTTTAATTGTCACTTTTCCGCGGTTGTCGTGCGCGGGACATACGTTGCCTTCGTACGTGTGTCCTGTTCCCCTTTAATTTTTTGTCCGCACGTTTTGTCTAGACACGTTGTTCGAGAAGTCGTTGGCCTTCACAAATTGGTCTGGTTTTGTTTTTGGCGCATCCCCCCCACGCGTACCCCTTCCCCCGCGGTCATGTCCGAAGCACCACGTGTACCTGGATAGGCGTTGCTTTTGGTTTTGGAGGGCGGAATCGCGATCTTTTGAGCTTAGTTTCGACTCTCTTATGTTTTTCGCCAAAAATAAGCAGTCTTATGCTCAAGTTTTATACCATTCGAAAATGCGACAAGGATGTCTATAGAACGCCGGGATGGTTGTTGTCACTTGTTGCGCTCCATGGTAGTACAAGCACGGATGCACGAGAGGTCGTGGTATTCCTCCAGTATTGCTAATGAGGGGAATTGTGTGGTTACCTCCCCTCCACGTGCCCCCTGAGAAAGTATGTATGCTGAACCGCTACTGTCCCCTCGCCTCTCTATTTTTGGTATATTGGAGCTCCGCACGGAGGTGGGGAGTAAAGCTCAGTTCTAGTTTAAAAGTGTCTGGTAAATAAAGCTCGGAGGATGTCAAATATCCGGCGCGTTAGTGATATAGGTATGGGCCATACACAATACGTGCGATGGAAACCTGTGCGGCATGTCTTAAAAAGGTGGGGTTGATTTCGAAGACGCCCGAAGGAACGTCGGCAGACGCTTCCGACGTTTGAGTCAAGTCTGAAGCTGGGCTGTTCGCCGCAGCGGTTCATCCAGTTGGTAACAAGGAAACCTTCTGAAGTGGGCACGTCGGAGTGCGAATCTCGGTTAGGTACTTGTACATGAACCAAAGTAATGGCTATTGATTGATAGTTAATGTGTGCACAACGTTTGACTTCGACAATCGAAGGGGAAAGTTTACGCAAAGCGCCACCAAGGAAGGTTCGCAATTAGAAATAAGAATCTTGTTTTAACGCGTTGCTCCTGGGTGCGACCCAGCTGTTTTTGATCCAAAAACATCTCGCTCCGCCGACGGTTGTGGAAGTTTTCGTCCAAAATAGCACAATGTTCGACAAATACAGAGCTGATCATGTTGTCTGGTACCGAAGCTGGAGAAGTTCGACGGAATTCTTGCGAGGGTACACCGAGCATGTCTCCGAATCACAGGCAAAGGGAAGTGACGAAACGCCGCGGATTTGGTTTTCTTGGGCAGAAAAAGTCCACTTTGTAGAACATACCAGAGACCCTCATGTGGTCAAATCATGTCGCCGACACGTACGGTGATATTACTCAGGTGGTCTATGACCCTGTCGGGTCGGTCACAGCAGGAAGTACACGGATCTATCTGATTCCACACGTAAGTACGACACCAAAAGGTCAATTGAATCGCGCCAAGCCACCTAAAAAAAGGCCCAAATCCGGGAGCTATGCATGCATACCTGATGGACGATGAACTCTGGACCGACCAGCCTAACCTACACACACACACACGGGTCTTTGGAGATGGGCTGAGAAGTGGCGAGGGCCGCCGATTACCACACCATACAGGAGTATCAATATTTCAACACCGACAGGGTTTTCCGCGTAACTCCGCAATCATTCATCATTTTGCTCCCCCCTCACCCTCGCATTTTGCCATCATGTGTGTTCCTCCACTCTCAACACCACGCTGGGGCCCAATGCCAGGAGAAATGGATGACGCGAGGGGGCGAAAACGCTTCATTCCTATCCAAGCCCAAATGTCTACGTACGTACCCGTCCGCCTTCTTCCTCCTCAGACAAAACGATCGCTGACCACCAGTAGCAAACCACCTCCACCACCACCACCACCACCACCAACAACAACAACAACAACGAGGGCCTACCACATGTAGAACAAACAGTCCAGCCTCGCCTGGGTCGAGATTCACAAAGCAATGCACAAACCATAGAGGAGAAAGAAACATGATGGCATCGACGACGTTCCGCAAGTGGCGCAGACGACGCGGTGCCTATTGGCTGCGTGAGCGACGTCTGTGCCTCCCAGGGTTGTTGTCCCATCACTCTGCCACCGACCGATACTATTATTCTACCACACCTACCAGAGGTCCTTCGCAAAGTCACACCGAACCACGGCTTGCCGACCACGGGGGCTTTGCACATGGCCGACATCGCCAACAACAACGACACTGCTGACACCCTTGTCATCGCCAACCGTTTCAACCACGACCGCCCCTTCCCCCCCACCCCCCTCCTCCCGAAATCCACAAGCGGTGATACCGAAAACGCTAATTTCTCCTCCGACGGCCCCCGCAAGCACGGACAAGCGCAGAATACGCCCGGTGTTTGCCCTGAAATCCCAAATGAGAGCACGGCGTCCTGGGCGGCACAAAAAGACTGACTGAAGGCGAACCGCATGCACTTCTGGTTGTTCGTTTCGATCCGGGTTGGTTGTACCTCTCGCGGGAATGGAGAAGAGAGGTTCAGAACAAGTCACCTGCTTTTTCATGTCGCGCGATCAACTCTTCTGTTTTTCGATTGTGGGAGTCAGCAGCACGTTCCCGCCCCTCTCTGCCTCGTGCCGCCGCTGCCGAGAACTAACGTTGGTTCCAATCCATTCCGCAGCCCCCGAGTCCATCTGTGCGATCCGATCACAGGTCAGCCCCCGTTGAAGGACATCCCATCCAACAGGCACACCAAGGGCGGGGGGCGGGCGCGGCGAGGGTTGGCACCGACCCTTATTCCCGGCCCTATTCCCGGCCCAATCCCCTTACACGGATGGCACCTACGCACCGGACGTGTCAAGTATCGTTCAGAAGAAACTGAAGTCCGAGTCACCAACGAGCGTGTTGTCTGTCCAGAGGTCGTACTCCTTGTTGGCAGGCCGCGGCGAGCGAGGGCGGTGGCGGGGCGACTTACTCCTGGACTTGGAGCTCCCCTTCCTGCCGCTAGCCGAGCCTCCTCCTCCCCCTCCTGCTCCTCCTCGCCCAGCGCTGGAAGAGCGGCGGTGCTGCTCGCGGCGGTGGTCTTCCTCGGCGCCCCGCCTGCTGCCGTTGTTGCGACCGCTGCCGCTGCCGCTGCCGTTGCCGCTGCCGCTGCTGCTAGTGGCGGCGGGCTTGGAGGAGGCTCGGGCCGAGGAAGCAGAAGATGTGTCCTTCTTTTCGTGCCTACCGCCTCCGTTGCCGCCATCTCTGCGTTTCCTCGAAGACGAGGAGGAGCTCTTCTTGCGGCTCTTCCGGTTGGGTTTGTCGATAGGGGCAGCACAAGTAGGGAGAAGAATGGACGGCGGTGGGCGGAGGGCATGTACGCCATGTGAGCGGTCTTGTTTGCACAGAGGGCAGGTTTAGCACTGATCGATTGGCCTCTTGATGAGCCGTCTCAACCTTCCACGGAGATACATAGAATCACAGCTTTGCACGGTGGCACGCCATACCACACATCTCCAGGTCAGCCTCAGAACCGTTTTTTCCCTACATCAACACTCAGATGAAAATCCATCGGCATCCCCGTATCCCCTCCCAACGCGACCAGGAATTGGGAGCAGGTAGGCAATATGCGTACCCCCCACCCTCGATTGGCAACCTTGGTTTCAGCCATCAACTCAGCAGTTGGTGACCCTCCGTACGGGAAGAAGGCAAGGTGGGCACCGGACCATGCAGCGAGTGAATATCGAAGATGAAGTCGCGAAACACCAGTAGCGCGTGATATGCCCGTATGAGACAAACCGGCAACCTCAACCGCCTACGAGCACTGCCGAAAAACACTCCATAGACTCTCGTCGTCGTCACCATCACCGGGAGGCGCACCTAACGAACCCTATCCGTTAGGCGACGCATGCCCTAGACGGCTCTCGCCAAGCGTATATTTCTGAGCTACCGGCACAAGTGACCGGCACAATAAAATGGTCAGCTAGCTCACCCCAGCCGCCTCCGCTGTGCTCTCCGAGGCTTGCTGGCTGCGCGTGGGAGGGTCCTTGGAGAGGGAGCGGCTCGATTTCTTCTTCGGCGGCATAGCTGCCTCCGCGGACTGGGGGTTGTCGGAGCGGCTACGCCGGGCGGCAGGTTCGACACTCGTGTGCACCTTTGGAGGTTGAGTGCAAGGAGGAGGTGAGACCTTGAGCATCAAGCGGTAACCCGGAAGCAAGCAAGCATGGGTTGTTTAAGTGCAAAGACGAGGTGAGACCTTGAACATCAAGTGGTAACCCGGAAGAAAGCAAGCGTGTTACGTTCTCTCCCTCAGTTTCTTCTCGCTTTTGCCGCGGGTTTGTCAGCAAGCACATCCACAGCTTCCACCACCGACGACATCTTGCTTTCGGCTTGTTATTGGACCATACGAGGGACTCGTCAGAAGACGTTTAGTGGACCAAGCACTCTACCGGTACGCGGGGAGTAGTGTGTTCGACGTTAAGCTGTGAGCAATAATCTCGTTGTTACTTACCTCGCGGGATCCATACAACAACTCCGCCGTAACAGCCTCAAAGTCAAACCGTCACTCCCCCGCACAAACGTTAGCTTCAAAAATCGGCAACCACACCGGCTGGCGGTACGATACAGCAGAGTAGAACGGTATTGGGATATCTTCCTGCAACGAGGCATCAAATATACCACACGGACAGCCGTGACCCCACTCCTTACGCTAGAACATGCCGCAGCCAGTCTAGACATCCGACCTCCGGCCACCCAGAACAACGACAACGCATGTCAAGACGGTAAGTACTACCGTAACCCCAAAACGAGCGCAACTTACCTCTTTATCTGCAGAGAGGTGCCGGGACCGACCACTCGTAGCACCACCTCTAGCGCCTCCGCCGCGCCCGGAAGTCTGAGCCGAACCGCCGGCGACTTGGCGTACCACCAGCCAGTCAGAGGCGACGGCAGTGGCGGCGGCGGCGGCGGCGGCGGCGGCGGCGGGTTGACCGGTGGCAGCCTTGGAGAGGCTCCGTGCCGGGGGTCGTCCTCCGTAGGGCGGCGCATAGTGTCCGGACGCTGACGACGGGGGGTTGCTGGGGCGAGTCTCAGGGGTGGCGAAGCGTGGTGCGGGTGGTTCCGCTTTGGCGGCTTCGGCCTTGGCCGCCCGGAGGGCGGCGGCTCGAAGCGCCGCGGCTTCGGCAGCCTCAGCTGCTGCGGCTTGAGCGGCGGCGGCTTGAGCTGCGGCGGCGGCTTGAGCGGCAGCCAGGGCGGCGGCCTCCTCAGCAGCTGCTTTAGCGGCCTCCTGTGCGGCAACGGCGGCTTCGGCTGCGCGACCTGCGGTTCAAGAGGTTGTTATGTAGTGGATGAGAAAAAACGTACGGGATGGGTGGGAACTGTTGTTGTCTATCGGCAGCTAATCGCATGTTTACGGTTGAAGGCGGATTCAGTGCTCTACCACGTGGTGAGCACATTGAAGAACGATGCTCTACGGTTGCATGCATCTCCGGAAGAGGAAGAGCTGTGCGTCTTGTTGAGGACAACTATTTCAAGCAACCAATAATGTGGACTGAAATACTACAAACAAACGCTGATCAACAAAGGTCGTAGGTGCAATAGATGTGTCTGGATACTCGATGATACAACCCACACCAGGTGATTTTCCACATCGCGTAAGACCTCCACGCGACATTATCTCGTCAGTGCAATTCTTGCGGAGTTACTTGTCAGAGCGCATGTACATGCTTTCGTATCGGGACAAAGTTTGACAACGACTCCAACACCTTCGTATTGAACAATAACGTCTACACAAGATTTCAAAACAACACGTACCGACAAGTGGCGATAGCAACAAGAGCCGAAAAGCTGTGGATTTGGACCCGCGACCTCCTCTCCCTACGACGGAAACGGTTCGCGACACACGAGTGCTCATTCCACCGCCTGGGACAAACAACCGTGGCCGCTGTCGACATAGAGTGCCCGGGCCGCGCTGACAGCATTATCGTCCTCCCAAAGAAAAACAAAAAAGAAAGTAGTTTTGTGCGGTCACGTTGTTTGATTGCCTCAACACTTGCGTTGTTCGGCCTCTCGGCGCGCCTCCAGCTTGAGGTTCAGAGCAGCCTCCACGTTCTTGGCGGCCTCGCCCCGGGAACGTAGATCCGCCAATTCGTGTGAGGCATGGAGCACTTGGTCTCGAAGAGATGTCAGTCGAGCCTGTGGGTTTTCAACAAACACATGCAGGCGCATGGAAAAAGAGGCGAAGGGCTTGAGGTAGGCTAGCTTGTCTACTCCAGAGAACGCTCGTCGACCAACCGTGGTGTTTCGATGGCCCCACAGGCTACATCGATCTGGCATTCCGGGCAGAACATTTACCCCGAGAACACCAAACAGAGCTGACATGGCTTGTGCCTCGATGTCATCTTAATCTTGGCTTTGTCAATCTCACAGCTTCAAGGGGGGGTAGGTGGGGGTGGGGTTGAACCCTTCGATGGTCTCGACGACACCAACATCAGAACAATAACTAGTATTCTTGATCCTGAGTTATGCTCTGCATGGACAGAAAACACCGAAGCTTAATAAACGCATTTCTGCAGCAGTTAGTACTACAGACTTCCGATCCGGAAGAGGCGTGGTAACACCACGCATAACCGCAGCAGTAAGCCGGTTCAAAACTGGAGATCGTGTACACCACGTTCATGCCCGTTCACTGCGACCAGGCGATCGACTCCGTCCCCCCGAAACGCCGGCCATTGGCCATCTCTGTCCCACCAAGAACTGCGTTCAGCCTATCAGTGAATTCATGACGGAGACATACGTCCCTGATTTAGATCCAACAAAAACAGAGTCGAACATACGTAGGCGGTGTTGCTGCTGGGGTTTCCACCCTTGACCTGACAATCCCCGCGGTCTCGACATGACAGCCACAAGGTACGGGGTGACAATTTACCACGTCTCCCGAAAGATGGTTCGGCGTTCATCTGGTTGAACCGCTATGGAATGCAGGAGGGGACAACCAGGCGCTCTACGGAACAACAACAGAGCAATGAACGGGGGGCAGAGAAAAGGACCTAGCAATGAGATAAAAATGCAGTGTATTCTGCGCTCAAGCATCAAACAGGCAGACACCACAGATGCGCGAGACACGCTTACTCGCTCTTTCCCCACACAGCTCCCTCCATCTGTAGCCGGCTACGTTCTGAGTGCCTGGCTTAATTAAATTCTCACCGCCTTTGCCTCCTTAGCTGCTTTGAGCTTGGCGGCGCCACCCTCTTGGATCGTGGTCAGCGTCTCCTCGAGGTCTCGCAGCCGTTTCGCGTGAGATTCGTCCCCGCCAGCGGCGCGGGCTCTTTGGACCGCTGCCGCAGCCTCGTCTTCCACGCGCTGGCGGTCTTCCTCGCCCAGGGTAGCCGGCGGTGGGGTCCAAGCCGCCGCTTCTTGGTCGAAGGCGATAACCGCCGTCTATAGAGTTGGAACAAAGCAAAAGCGCGAAGGAGGAAGAGAAGAAGGGGGGTATATTTTTGAGGTTCCATATTGCCGGCACTGGTGTACAGGATGGCGTTGTGCGGTGTGGTGTTCACGGCCTTGGAGAAAGGCAGAGAAGAAGTCGAGCGCTCCATGAGGAGGGCGGCGCGCACGAAAAGAGGCGTTAATCTAGGCTCGCACGCATCTTCGTCTTAACCGCTGAACATGTTCGTAAGAAACTGAACATGGTGAGTCGCCGCCCCGCTCCTGTGCCGGCTCCGTGTGGTTCGTCGCAGAAAATGTTCAGCGCCACCCACGTGCGTGCGCGTCCATACCCCGCCCGTCTCGTACCGATGTACCATGCATTTTGGATAAACGTGGACTACTCAAAGTTTCTGCATGTGTGCTCATCGATGCATTTTCAACCGCAAGGTGCTGAAGCATCTCTGCTTCAGAGACCACTCGTGCTTATGCCGACGACGCCAGTACTCGATATCAAGAATCCAAACATCAACACGCAAACCACGGTATCGTCCAATAGTATCGAAACGACTACGGTACCTCTACCCTCGTGTGCTCGCAGCGCTTACACTAAATAGCCGCCGCCCGCAATTACGCCAGGCTTGCAACGACCAAACCGAGAACCGCAACAACGTACAGCCTATCGGCCGCGACTACCTGGCACTGTTCCAGCCGGGCGCGAGAGGCCTGTGCCTGGACCTCTGCCGCAGCCACACACCCCTCCGCCGCATGCAGGGCCTGTGTCTTTCTCTCCTTCTTGGCTTGAAGCCTGGCTTCTCCCTCCTGCAGGCGTTTCTTGGTGTCGGCGACGAGAACCTGCTTGGCGGCGATGGACGCCGTTGCTTCGTCCACGCCTTTCTGCGAGTCGCCTGCTCCTCTCACGACAAAGGAAAACCATCGTCGTCAACGACGACAACCGATTCGGTTCCGATGATGAGAAAAAAAGCTCACACGGCTCTACCAGGAAAATTAAATTCAAACAAATTCGCTCATCCTGCATGGGGGCTGGGAGTACTTGTGCACCCCGTGGGGCACCTCGGAGGCGAACAACGGCACGAACACTACTGAGTAGCGGACAGCAGAGCAAACAGCAAGTGGGTAGAACGTACAAAGTAGAATTTCGAGCTCCTCGGCGCGGCGTCGATCCGCCTCTGCGGCCGCTCTCAGCTCCGCGTTGGAGGCCCTCAGGCGGTCGCGCTTCTCGTGCAGGAGGAGCAGGTCCCCCTGGCTCTCCTCGCTCAAGGCCTTGAGGGCGCTCTCCGTGTCGGTGGCGTCGAGCTCCAGCTGGCGGTTGGCGGTCACCTGGGGAAACCAAGCCAACAGGACCAGCGAGCACGAAGCATGATGTAAGGGCTGGGCCGGTGGGTCACTTCACCTCGGATAATAAGGCGATCTTCCAGGGGAAGCGGAAAACAACGCATCAGAGTCATGATAAACACAAACGATGAACCCGTCATGCATACAATGACCTGCTAGTGGATTTACGAAGATATGACTCTTCCGCATCCACGGGTGAGCAAGTCCTAGACGAAGAAAGGTAGCCCGAGATACATGTCGGCAAACAAGTTGGCAAGCTCAGGAGCAAACAGAAAACAAAGGCCAAGCTTACTACTTTTGCGGGATATCGTTGAAAACGGGAGAGACAGGCATGGTTGCTAATTACTTGCGGAGAGATAATCGCCCCCCCAAACACTGAATTTGTTTGTCTTCCTCTCACCGCCTTGTCGTACTCGCGGAACACCAGCGACAGAGCCGCCATGAGGTTGCTGAACTCGGCGTTCGCCCGTTTCATTCTGTCCGACGCTTGTGCCACCGATTCCTCCGCCTTGACGATCTCAGCGTCAGCAGTTGCCAGCTGGTCCGAGAGAAGGCGAACCTCTGCATCCACGGTTTCCTGGACACACACGAAGGGAGGAGCGGTAGAGACGGACGCTGAAAGGCGAATGAGGGTGGGGCGAGAGAGAGAGAGAGGGAGTAGAAAGACGATTCTTGTCGAGGTGCCGCAGGCAAACGCAGTGTTTCGGTGCTGTGGCGGATGATAAGTCTGGTCGTAAAGGGGTGCGGGGTCTGCATGCGAGAGGGGTGAGGTGAGGCAGTGAAGGTCCGGGAAGGACCGACAGAGAGTGGGGTGAGATGGTTCTAGTGGAGGTCCAGGAAGGAATCGACAGAGAGCGCCACTGTTCGCAGCGAGCGAAGAGGGGAAGGTCGCGATTGTTTCCATACGTGGTCGTACAGAGGAGACGGTCGGATCCCATTTCGTACTTAAATCACCCGTTGGCCAAACACGCGTGAATCTCGCAACGAGGCCCGGGAAACCGGGATAGGCCAAGGTGTTCCCGGTCAGATAGAGCGTCACACGCTTCTTCGACAACGGTGAAGCTAACGCCGCCAGATGCGTTCGATTCTCAAGGAAGATAATGGACTGTTGAACTGGACCACCAGAAACACGCTGCTGTGCGGGTAGTCACCCCCTCCTCAGCCTTCCCTCCCACCTTTCTACCCTCCTGTGCTTGAGTGGAGATTCGCAGGCAAACCCCGTACTGGAGAATACACGCCGAATAAACACGACCCAGTCCGCGGTACGTGTTCGCCGATATGCCCCCGCCACAGTGTCAACGCAAGGTATTGGAGGCATCGGTCGGAGTTGAGGACTGACTGACTTTGTGCCGAGGTTGAGGGAAGAGGGCGATCTATCCCAAGTGTTGGGTGAACGCCGGGGATCTCATATCGGCCACCCGTACGCGCCAAACTTCAGAGAGAACCAGCGAACCACATAGTCAAAATCTCGACTCCCAATCATACCCCGACTCAAACCCTCCGCTCGACTTGACTCGCCTTCCGAGTTGCTCTCAAAGCCGCGATCTCCGCCCTCTTGGCCTTCTGACCCGCCCTCTCTGCAACCAGCGCCTCTTGCCCGGCCTTGACCCTCTCGTCGAGCTCTGTCTTGGCCCTCTCCTTGGTGGCCACCTGCTGCTTCAGCTCGGCCAGGCGGTCTTGGGCATCCTGGAGGTCTTCCGCACGGGTTGCCTTGGCTTTGGCGATCCTAACCGTGGTCTTTGTTTGGTGGTGAGGGAGAGGGGAAGGGGGCGTGACGCTCAGGTGGGAGGCAGAAAAGTGCCCGGTTCTCGTTTGAAGTAGAAATTTTTCACCGCGCCTTTGGGGGAGGGAGATTCAGCATCAGGGGAAGGCCCAGCCAACCGTATTCTTTACCCTGCTTGTACGGCAATGCAACATAGGCACCACACACCCGAGTGGAAACCGTCGCTTTCGAGTAAGATGTGTAAAACAAAATGTGAAAGGCAAACGACAACATCAAATCGTGGGAGCTTGGCGCTACCTGCGGCAACGCCAGCGCAGCGACCGCACCAAGCGCCCGCACGTTGAGTGTGCAACAGCGACAGAAAAACAACCCGATGACAAACAACAAATGTAGCAGGTAAACACCTCCGCCGTGTGCTTCTTGATCGCAGAAAGGGTGTCCGCGGCCTCGCCCCTCTCCTCCTCCTTACGGGCCAGGTCCCGCCGCAGCCCGGCGACCTCGCTCTCGAGGGCCTTGGCGTCGTCGGCCGCCTCTCCGGCCAGGGCCCTCGACCTCGACGCCCTCTCTTGCTCGCCCCTCAGCAGACCCTCGCGGTCGGCGACCGCCCGGCGCCCGGCCTCCACCGCCGCCGTGAGCCTGTCGCTCTCGCTCTGGGCCGCGGCGAGCGTGCGCTCCCGCTGAAGGAGTCCGGCCTGCGCGAGGTCGAGCCAGGAGGCGGCGGTGGCGGTCTTGTCCCGGATGCGCTTGTGCTCCGCCGTGAACACGACGAGGTCCGACTCAAGCGCGGCGGCGCTGGATGCTATGTGCCCCTCGTCGGCGAGGACCTGCTTGAACGCGGCCTCCAGCTCGCGGAGCCTGGCGTCGCCCGCCGTGTTTCGGGCGGCCCGGTGCTGTACCACGGCCTCGAGAGTGCCGTTCTCGCTCGACTCCTTCTCGAGGTGCCGTCGCAGGTCGGACAACTGCGTGCGGTGGTCGTCGAGCACTGCCTTCAGCTCTACCGACTCCGCGCGGGCCTGGAAACAACCGCGCAAGCACGAGTCGCACACATGGCAAACGAACGCGAGCAGGCGGCGTAGCTATTGGGGCACCCGCCCGAGTTGGGAGACATGCCATGTACAGAGAGAACTTTCCAGCACAGCAGCAATAATCTGCATCAGTACACGTGGAGTGGGCCCAGGCCTTTCCCGGACCGAAAACTGGGGTAGAGGAAGGAAGATAGCTCTCGCAGGGGTACTACACATACACTGTAGTTCAACGTCATGCACAGGCGCACCATTCACCATGCTTATAGCGAAGGTACAACGGCGAGGTATCCCAGACCGCACTCACTCATGACCGCTCTCCAACGTCTACGTAAGTAAGCGTACAGCCTACCGTTCCATTCGCTGAGTCTTCAGCGCTGCTACGCTACTACTGGCATGTAGTGCTCTAAAGCAGTACCTCTTTCTACCCTTGCGTGGGAAAGTGAGACGAGGCGGGCGGTCCTTTCGACACGTACAAAGCACACAAACGTCACACGCCAAAAAGGTACGAGTCTACTGCTGTAGAAAGCTTGTGCCGCTCTCTCTTCGTTTCGAGGATACTCAGCAGTGTAGGCGTTCATTGAGTAGTACACTGTAGCCGTAGGTTTCATTGAGAGTAGGTATTCATTCACAACGATGCACTCTCGCTACACGGCTGTCCGCATAACGTATTGTACAGGAAATGCAGCATTTCGAAGTTGTAAGAACGGGGGAGTGCAATTTGATCTACTGGAATCGTGGCTCATGGCAATTGGATTCCGTGCCCTCCTCTGCCTCCAGCGAAACCCCGCTTATTTATCTTCACTTTTCAGAGAAAATTGCGGCGGGAAAGCAATTTCTTGTGTCCACCATGTGCTATGTGCTGTAGTAGTAACATGCTGTCGAATGGGTAGTCTTTCTGTGTGTGTTTATATTATTCCTTAATGCTGTCTAGAACAGTCACTTTTATTGGCATAACCGCGAGACTCGAAAACACCGGCATGCTTTACTCAAACACCACACCCCCCCACCAAGACCTTCTAGCACCCATATGCTTCATAAGAGCGACTATCTGATGTGTACGTGCCTGAGAGTACTCCAGCTCGAAAGCTTGCACGACCTCTCTGACGCTGTCCACGAGGTGAACCGTGGCGCGGGCGTTTGAATTTTTCGACTTCTTGGCAGTGCGTCTCTGAATTGGCGTGGCTGCTGGCATGACGGGGACAACAGCGCTTTCCACCCTCGACGATGCAGCCGATCTCCCCCATGTCTTTGTCGTGGGCACCGTGATGGACGACATTGGTGCACAGGTGTGATGTTGTGCCGCACGATTGACTTTTTCACAGTTCGGGCAGCACCGAGCTGCGAGAGAGAGAGGGGACGAGACACCAGGGTGCACACGCACAAGAGCTCTAGCTTGTTGGGTGCACGAACACACCCAGATAGTATCTCAGCACTGTGCCACCCGCCGCTGTGGCCTGCTGGTGTATTCTAGGAGCGGCGGGGAAGGGTTTCACAAGACGTCGAGGCGGGAAGGGCAGGGGACGCCCAAGGGGACACGGAGTGAACGAGTGAAAACTGTGACAACGCCGAACCATCTGCGTCTCCATGGCACGTGGGCAGCGTGGCATATCATTCTCGGAGGGAGGCAGGCAGGCAATGCGGCTCGTTGGGGGGAAGCCGGCGCCGCGTCAAGCCATAAGCCGGGTCATTTTTTCGCGTAAACATCATCGCGTACGGGAATAGCCATGCAGCACCGCCGTTACGTGGACAAAATTGATGTCGCTGTGTGTGAAAGTGAACTACTGTGAACTGTTCCCAAATTGTTGGTGGATATTCTCTCACCAATCGCGAGAGTGTTGACGTCTCCCCCGCGTGGTGGTTGGCACGTGCACGATTTGATAGGGGGTGTCTACTTGTAGAGCAGTACACACTTCAGACGTGCGAAACCCACGAACGCAGCAGTGCGAAGAAACGAGCAATTTCATATTCGTCCGCGATCCTACAGCATTTTCGCACGGTACCACAAGCCAACTGGTACGTTGACATTCTGCTACATCCCTCGCCTACTACGTAAACGCCTCTCGCGGACAGCTCAAACAGTGAAACGACGCCTCGGTTATGCCGCAGTGCTGCAAAATCGGCCAAGGGTTTACTGATCCAACCATCCGGATGATGATGGGGATAACAAGGATCAAAGCCTTTTGTCGCAGATTTCACTGCGCAAAAAATGCTCCCTGTAGTATACGCGGCTGAAAACCTACATATCGCACAGCATTGCCACGGCCTAAGGCGAGGAAGCTCTGCAAGGGAAAATCAACATCTTCACTCTTTCCATTTGCACGCGTGTGATCCGGCTAACGTCCACATAAAACACGTGTACGCGCGCAAAGGCGCGCCGTCTTTCACCCCGCGTGTACTTCACAAAGCTCCCACCGCTCCCCGATCAAATTTCCAAAAATGAAATGACTACTGCTACAAAGCGCGACTTGATCTTTGCCACAAACCTGTGAAAATTAGCACCAGAAAATATTCAAGATTTGCAGCTTTCGTACATGAACATGCCAAACCAAACAGGATTAATCTTCACCGGCATGCATTGGCGGGACGAAGAGGAGTGATTGGCTACGGTGTGATGTTGACATGCATTCTCCTGCACCCCCTACGACAAAACAACCATCGCCGTTCACGAAGGCAAACACAAAATCGGCACCAACGACGACGATATCGACATAAAAATACCTACCTGTGCAAAAACAAAACACAACACGCCATAATACACGGCACCATCCCGCGAAAGCGCTGATCACATCGCCGTGGCACCTACCGATTCGCGGATCTCTCCCAAAAGAGACTCGCCATCCATGCGGTCTAATCACCTAGACAACCATAACCATTTCCAAGTGTCAAAAAACCGAATTGAGGGGCACCAACATTCCAGAGCGGGTGCAAGACTCTTCCAACAAAGTATTAACGGGATCCCGCGGGACGCGCGGTGCTGCCGCTATCTTTGAGCATCGCTTCCGCCTGGGCGAGCTTGCGTATTGCCACGCTGACACAGCGGTGGAATCGAGGCAAGCCATGCAGATGTCCAGTCGGGTGGTCACCAGAGCGAGGTGCGGCACAAACGGGGCGGGGGGGAGAGACGGACAACAGCTGGAGTGAATGAAAGTGATCTTTATAGCATTGAGCACAGCAAACAACCTCACGACCAACAGTTACTTTCATTTTATTTTGTGATTACAATCGACACGCAGGTTTCCCTCTGTGTGGTGTAGTGCAGGACAATACACATGTTGAAGATGTTGGTAAGACAGCAGGGAGAGATGGCACTGGTGCTCGCTGGTTTGTGAGGAAGCCAGCGAAACATGGGTTATTGCCCCAACGCATTCTCACAAACAAGCGCATTTCATCACTATTAATAGGCGCGGACTGCGGGATAAATGACCTCGCTGGGTATAGATTTCCGACCGTAGCGGCTCTATGTGCTTCAATATTTCCGCCTCGGTCACCTGGGCGACAGGCTTACATGCAATACGAATGGATTTTTGCCACACCCATTGACGCTTCTTTGATACGGTCACAGCTGCGTGGGGCATTTGTCGGGATGGGCGGCGTTACGCCTACCCCACAAACGCCGGAATCTCGGTGCTCATCTTTCAGTGAAAGAAAGCAGAGAACATGTGCCAACGTGTAGGCTGATTTGCTTGTCTTCGATCAACTCGAAAAACACCACGTCAGCTCGAATCTCAGCGTTTCCTTCGCAGCGTGGGTACACCAGCAAACAATTGTTCTCTTAGCATGTCCATGGTCTCCCCCTCGACCGTACAACAGCAGCAGGAATTCGCTTGCTTCCATGCTCATCCATCCAGCTACTCAAGAAAAGCTGCTGTCGGTAGATTGCCGGCCCTACCACTTCATCCACCAACCACTCACGTGAGTCTCAAAGGGACCGGGTCGCATGGGCCGTGTTGGAGGACTGGCTCGTCCCCGTCTGTTTGGAGCGAGAATCCCGCCGCCGTCATCACCTGTCCGGTTTTGATTGGATGCGCACGTGCACGTCAACATGTACTGCGGAGAGCGCATCGTTCTTCTCTGTGTGGAGCGAGGGGGGTCATGGTTCCTGCATTTTCGTTAGCGGCGAATGCCCTTGCTCAACGTGGAACATCCGCGATAAGTACTTCCTTGATACTGCTCCGCGTGTAGAGCGGATGTAGGTCTGTGTCGTAGGCTACTAGCGCAAAGGGCTGAACCCGCTCCCTGGAGTGGGCGGGTTTGTGTCTATTAGTCTCGGCCTGCTGAGTCCTTTTCACGTTGTGGAAGAATATTCCGCATCAGCAAATGCTTCCATTTTCACCACGAGTGCAACGATCAAAATCAGAGAGAAACTGGCTGGCTGGGTGACTGACGGACCTCGAGTCCTCCGTCAATGCCGCCGACTTTGGAGTTGAAGTTGGCGTTGCCGAGGCGGATCCTCTTGAACTTGTCGTCGGACGACTTGGCCGTCATGTTCTTCATCATTTTGAGCATCGTTGTCACGGCAGTCAACGACACCCCCGGCTCCTGTGTCAGATAGAAACAATGTAAAAATCAAGCCAAAGGCATGATAGAAACGGGTCGATACGGGCACATGGCGTTTTATCTACCTCACATCACCGTCAAATTGTGAGAAAAGAGCCATCCGTCAGTGACGTGGGTCGATTCTGACAGGGTACCCAAACAATGCGGTACGAAATTGGAAGTGAGGAGAATTGACCAAAAACGCCGAAAACGGCGAACGGTGCCGCCACGCCTTAGGATGCTTCACTTCTGGACACAACGCTGATGGCGTAGGTTGCGATGTGCGCCTCGTCGGGGGAAGAAGCGAAAAAAACAACAATCAATGCCATGGCACACCGTAAGCACCGCAAAAAACACAACGGACAGAAGACAATACACCACCATCAATCAATGACGACGCCAACACATACGACAGCACAGACAAATACGGAAACAAAACATAGTAGCGCCAACTAGTAGGCCGCAGCCCAGATAAACAGCCCCTTTTCATCTCCCCGTCCAACACTCTCGCACCCAACAAACACGCCCCCAACCACCGCCGACACACCTGCTCCAAAACTGCTCCTAACGCCCCCTCAATTTCTGCCGCGACAGCGTCCGCCATGGCAGCTTCCTCTCCAATCCATTCCTCCTTCTCTCCCAGGTTTGCGGTTGCCGCCGCCGCCGCCGCTGGTGGTGGTGTTGTTGCTTGTCTGTCGGGAGGCGGTGGAGATGTAAGAGGCGCCCCAGCCCCTGAATCCCCGGCCCCAGAAATAGCCGCCCGTGCCGCCTTCAAAAACAAAACAACAGAAAGACATGAAAATTGCGCGCACCATACGAAACGACGTCGATCCGTCCGCGGCCGCACGTACGATCGAGAGGCGCACAGGCCTGCAGCTGCCACGCGCACGCACGCAAGGCGTACGAGAGTGCCGGCAGTAAGGCAGAAAACAGGGTGATTCATGGTAGACGGGGCTCGCTGGTTGGAGACACACCCGTCAAAGTCTGGGGCCGGTGACCGCAACCAAAAAGAACAAGGACAAGCTGGTTGCGTTTTTCCACACACACGCCTCTCTCTATCTCTCTCTCTGCGCATCGTCAACGAGCGTAATTGGGCCAATACTTGTCATGCCACCGCCGGTCTGTCTGTCGCTCTGTCTGCGTATCCATCCATCCATCTCACCGTGTTTCCCATCAGACGGGCCTCGTACGGGTTGTAGCCCATGCTAGAAGCCGTCCTAGCTTCCTGCTGCTTCGCGAGCTCGACCATGCGCCTGGTCTCGGCATTGCCCGAGTCTTCGAATTGGTTTTCGGTCACCTGTGTGTGTTTTTCGTACAACGAACACACGCGCGCCAAATCCCGACGTTTCTCGCGTTGATTCGAATTGGACCTCTTCCTTTCGACGACGTACTGTGTTGCTGCTTGAACAGTAGTTCTTGAGCGCCGTTCCTGTGCCTACTGCCTGTTGTTTGGCGTTGAGTCGAGCTTCTGGTCCGGGAGTCACTTGCAGGCGTTCTCATGTTGGGCGCGGACCACGAACTCATTTCATTTCGTGCACACAGGGGTGCACGCAATCGTTTGCCGCGTCGTGTCCAACGAGGGTTTCCATGGCGAACAACGTTACATGAAGGATCGAGATCAAGCGGTTAACATGGGCAGCTGGCCGACTTGCCAAGTGTGACGAAGACCCCTTGAAAGGAAGGAGGCCTTCGGAGCAAGACCTGTGCCTCGGGCATCGTGAGATCCGGACAGCTGATTCAATGCTGCGTGGTGTGCGCAAGAAACAAAAAACACATGGCATGAACGGACGTTGCCGTTTGCTTTTTCAAGAAACTGTGTTCACTCGCCCCATCAATCCCATTTGGAGGCAGGTCGCACCATCTAAAGAAATATCCCCACCAACAGCAGAAAGCAGCAACAACATCGGTACGGCGTGCCACTGCTGTGATATAATCCAGTTCAATGATTTCGTGCCTTCGTTGTTAACTAGAAAACCACGAAGGGAGAATGCCGACAAAGGCGGTAACACCCCGCATCGCATCGCCGAACAGCGCCGCTCTCACCCCACCGGTCCCAGACTTGGTCTGTGATGCCTGGCGCCCCTTGTTGAGTCGCTTGTTCCAGTCCTTGGTTCGAGACTCGGCCGCCTTCAGCGCGGCTTCTCTCCGCTCTGCCTTCGCCTCGGCCGTCATCGGCGGTGGCTGAAATTTCGGAGCGGGGAGATGGGGGCATGGTAAAACAAGGTGACATCAATCAACGACGACAGTCAACATGAACAAACACGGAGGCGGGAACAACATCCGACCACAACAACAGCAAGATCATGCAACAAAAACGGCACGACGAGGAGGATACAACCACCGACGATAACAACAACAACTGCAACAACAAGCGCACCGCGATCTCAACGGCCGGGGTACGCAAGGGGAAGCTCCTCCAACCTGCCGAATTTTATGCACCCGCTGACCTAGGAACTACCCACAGGTCAAGACGTGGCCCCCAAGGCCTCCTAACCACCGCAAACCCCGCCATGTCGCCAACTCCACCTTTGGGCAGACCGGAAAGGACGATCAAGGTCGATCAATTGATCTAAGGGCAACATCATTACTTCAAGTAGTCAAAACGCACGCACACCTCCCAGGCCTCCCGGTCCCCTCCTGCGACCTCCTCCTTACTTGTGGGGGACCCTTAATCTCGTCCATCTTCCGCCTAGCAGCATCTTGCGCGCGCTGAAAGGGCCCCGGTTCCTGGGCCGTCGCCCCGGCACCCTTCGCCTCCTTCCCGCCGCCACCCGACCTGTGAAACCCGATCACCACAGGTCGGCCGATCGCACGGACGACGTCGACCAGGTCTTCGTGGGCGGCGGGGGACGCGTTCCCGTCGATGGCTGCTATGGTGTCGTTCACGCGCACGCCGGCCTTTGCTGCCGCTCCGCCGTTGCTCACTGGTGGTTGGGTACGAAGTGGACATCGGCGGCGGCGGCAACGGCGAGCGAACCACGATGGGGGGGCGTGTGCCGTCGGTTTCGTCGCGCAACCGACTCCAGAATTGGTCCATCCTCATCTTGTTTCGCTACCACAATTGTCCCGCCAAAATCGTACCTGAAGTTTGTCCCCGTGTCTTGCTTGTATTCGACTACATAGTGTCTGGCATATGGGCACAAGGGACGTATCCGGGACGTGGAACGACCCGAAGGATATGGATATTCCACCGCAAGACCCAGGGATGGATGGGGCCGATCGGGGAGAGCTTTCTCCGGGTACAAGTACAAACTCGAGTCCTCCACGAAGATACGTGAGTTCGTGCAAACTGTCTCTAGAAAACGGCCTCTTCAGAAAACCGTGGAGGGTTCGGAATCCACGGAACACGATTCATGTGACGGTTGAACTCAGGTACAACGAGCACCAGGCCCGCTGCACCCAAGCGACGGCGCGCGCCGACGTCGTGTGGGCCGCACGGCGCCACCATAGCCTGGAAGGGCGCAGGTTGCTGCTTGCTGCGCCAACACACACGAAAACATGGTGCGTTTAGTCTGCCCACCACACTTCTGCAGCACGGACGCAGTGGGGTTTCTGCAGCAGAGCAGGTTACTCTTTCTCTTCGTTGGTGGTGGGTGCCTCAAGCGCGACTTTCGGACGAGAACAAAGATGAAAACAATTTCCACGCTTGAAACTCGGAGCTCGGAGCTCTCGGGATATTTGCGGTCACAATCTATCTTGACTTCGAGAGGAGGAACACAACGCGTGATACCTTCAAAGGAAAAGCGTTGAACACGGCGCACCTACATTTATTGCGGTGTAAGGGCGTGTACTACCGTCCATTTTCTGGACAGGGAACAGGGAACAAGGAACTCGGAATTATTGCCTGATTGGTCAGCCACACAAAATAACTTTCCTGGAAACGAGAAATGCCACACACGTTGCCTGTTTGTGGTAGTTCCGCCGCACCACAAAAATTAGACAACAGACCATAGGGAACGTGGACCAAGGACTCTTCGGTGGCAATTAAGGACGTGGTGGGATGTGTGTGTGTGTGTGATCACTCTCGGGAATGCGGCTGCCACAGGTGCTGCATGCTACCGGTGCAAGCCGTGTAGGCATTGCCACCATAATCAGATGTCTCGCATGCGAAAAAACGGCGGTGGATGCTCGTGTAGCCGTTTTATGGGGGAACATGAACTGTCAAAGAAACGGCAAGCTGCCGTGGACCACACCTAAAAAAAGCATGCCTTTCAGAGCACTGTCGAGGGTGCGGATTGCATGACGAGCACCGCCTGTTCTAGCCGATACACCCAGCACATGTGGTTGATGTGCGCTCGTCAATAGCTTCCTTCAAAACTACACCACCACCCCCTCCCTCCTATACCGTCTACCTCCCACTCGTCTTTGTGCATCCAATGGTTGTATTTGCTGCCTTCGAGTACCTGCGGGCCCCAAGCGCGCACTGAAACGTTCCGTGTTCCTGAATGTGGTGTAGATGAGGACACAACGACACGGAACAGGGAACAGGGAATTCCGAGTTCCCTGTTCCCTTTTCCATGCCCAACAAAGGGACGTAAGTACACGCCCTAATATACTTATCATCGCATACCTGCCGTGCCTGCGTACGAGTAGGAATTTTGGCGAAAGAACGTGCTGCGGAACACGCCAGGGATTCGGGCAAACTCTTGCGGCCTCGCGCCATGTCGCCCGAAAGAAAGATGTGTACTCCCGTTTGAAATATTGGCTGTTGGTTGACTGCGCTAAGAGCCACATGGCAGTGCAAGAACACAGCAAACCGTTCTCCTCTTCGCCCGCAGCCGCCTACCGCAACACTCTCGTTGCCAGGTTACCGCTGTTGCTCTATTCTCTATTGCTCACCTCCGGTCACCCGAGACTCTCCGTTTGGGCCTGGCGATAACGAGATGCCCAGGTGCTGCTCCATGAAGGTCACCTCAAAGCTCTTTGGCTTGTCATCAGCCCCAAAGCTTTCCTTTAGCTTGTCCAAAAATCCCATCGCGTGGCCACAAGCGAGAGGGACGAACAGTGGAGTGTTGGTGTGATGCGCTGTGTGCTGTGTTTGTAAAGTGCAGAGAAGAGAGAGCGGGAGAGAAAATGCGGCGGAATATCTAAAGTTCCTGTCCGTGCGGCCCCATCACCTCTTGTCTCCGAGCGACTTCTTGTAGCACGGCACACACAGCAGGCCGCGCACACAGCACAGCTCCCTTTATCTACCATGGCTACGGAGGATCAGGTGTGCGTTGAAACAATGGGCAGAGGGTCAGTCGCTTATTCGTCGTAGAGAGTGAGGTGCTTCGTGCCAGTCAAAGAGAAAAACAGCTGCGGATTGGCGGATGTGTCCCGCCCTTGACTTGGTCGCAGCGAAGGTGCTCTGTGCAAAAGCCTACTGCTACCTGCTGGTCATATACGCAGAGGGTCCTCGGGCTTGTGCTGGCCATACTATTGATTCGAGCGCTTTGACTTCTTGCTGCAGTCCGTGCTTGCATCGGTGAAGCTGCAGCTTCACGTGCTGTTGGGCCGGTGTCCTTGAAGAAAGAACACCACATCTGCAAGAACTCTACGGTTACGGGCTACCCCGCATCCGAATGTACTCCTATTCCACTACAAGTACATTGTATTGTACGGCGGTACCCAACAGCTGTGTGGCCGGGAACAAGTCTTGCGACGTTGAGAGCCTTACAAGATTTCCAAGAGTGTTCGTCTGGTGTTGGGCACCCTCTTGGTTGGCGAGAGCAATTGAGCTCGGAAAATCGACCCGACTCTACATGTGACACTCGCTTACTCACACAATGCCGACTGTGAGGAAGCTACTTCACATTTTGAGATGCCCTTCAAACATGATTGCCCAGCCGGTGACGCCTTGCATCGCGTGGGATGTTGCAATGCCCTTTCTGAACCATCACCACAACTGCATTGTCCGTGTAGATTCTGCTCCGGCAAAGACTGCTGTGACAACGCGCACTTCGGTATCAAGCCATGTTTGAAACATCAAGTCAACGGGTGCACTCCGACCCACCGTACGGTTGGGGTTGTCTCGATTTAGCGACCCCCTGTTTAGCGGCATGCCCTATTTAGCGACATGCCCTGTTTAGCGACCACAAAATCACGTGGCACCGCCGCACTCCGGGAGTATAACTGCCACGTCTATTGTTGACAGTTCGGTTCAGTGACCTTCCCTGAATAGCGGCCACATTTCGTCGTGACACGAGGGGCCGCTAGACCGCCCCCACCACTGTGTGGAAATCACCAACCGAAGTCACCATTCTAACTACAGTTCCCCCATGCCTCCTCCCCTTGCTCATTCACTTCCTGCCGCTGCTGCATACTCCAGGAGTTCGTGAAGCTGGTCAGTGCAGAGGGTGCAGAATTTTGGGTCGACCGAAAGTGTGCCATGGTGTCGGGAACCATCAAGGCAATGCTTAGCGGTGAGAACAAAGAGGGGTGACGGGGTGTTTGGTGAGACTGCTGTGGGGCGACGGGCAGGGGTGGGTCGACCTCCCCGGCAGGATCTGTATGCCGTTCCCTTCGGAGAAAAGTGCGTTGAAAACGTAAGCACCGAGTCTCCAACAAGGGTTGGTGGGTTTGGCCAATCAATGTCCTTGTATTCGGTCCTTTCGCCACCTCCCTCTTGGTTGCCTCCCTCTTGGTTGGTCTTGTTTTGTGGCTTTTGACCAGTGCCCCGGTATTCGGTTCTTCCGCCACCTCCTTCTGTCACCTGCACGTTGGGTGATGTTGGTTTGTGTTCTTGGCAGGGGGGTTCGGAGAGGCGGCATCGGGACAGGTGCACTTCGCCGAAATCTCGACACCAATATTGGAGAAGGTCATCCAGTTCGTGTATTACAAGGTGGGGGAGAGGTGATGGATGGTATGTATCGCCAGCATTGCATATAATGTTTTGGAGTTGCTGGGACCATGTCGTGTCCTAAGACTCGAACAGTCCCGCTAATGTTTCCTCCATATTTAAGTTTGACCGTCTGGGGTTACTCAGGTCAGCGTGCACGGTGTACACCAGCGGTCTGCTGATGCGCCGTGTGTGGAGCTGATGTAATGATTCACTCGGCGCCACTTTCTAGAAGATATCTTGTCTGGAACGTTGCTCCAGTGTGTGAATAGTGCTTATTTGCTTGCCGTGGAAGTTCATCCTGACATACATCGTGTACACCAATGTCCTTCAACAACACAACCGCGCCATTTTGCCTTGTGCTCTTCGATACCCCAGGTGCGATACACCAACAGCGCGACCCGCATCCCAGAGTTTCACATCGAGCCGGAGCTGGCGCTGGAGTTGCTCATGGCCGCAAACTTTCTCGACTGCTGATTGGTCGATTCCCTGGCTCGCCACATGCACGGTGCTGCTCGGGGCGCAGCCGGCGGCGACTCAGCTATCTTGGTTTCGGAGGAACTCTCGCTTCAGAGGCAGGGAGTGCACGAGCGGTGGGACGGCGAAGCGGTGCCGAGGTAGATTTAGATGGTACTGAGTTGGGCACCACTTCACGGTCCCCCAAGAGGCTCACACCGTGTTTGGAGGTGGACCGTCCTCCTTGATGGAACGGATGAATGTTCGGCAGGCTGTGGACCCACCCGCCAGCCGCCGTCGCCGCCGCCGCCGCCGCCCTCCCGGCACAGCACGCCCGCCCCCGCTCCTTCTACTTGTGTTGGCTGTTTGCGACTCGATCGATGAATTGTTTTGGAGTTGGCAATCGTGCCTCTAGATGTTTGCGAGGCACGGCAGGGTGTTTGTCGTGTAGATCGGGCAGAGAGTAGGGCAGCGTTACGAAAGCAGCGATTGTATGATTTCCTCGCATGACGGCGCGACGTAAACGTGCGGCGTGCTGCTTCGCTAGCCGACCTTTGTGTGTTTCATGCCGTTCCATGTCGCAAGCTCTGGGGCGGTGTTGGGGTTTGTTTTATCGTTGTCTTTTTGTTTTCTCATTGCCACGGCCGGCGGAGCTGGAGACGGCTGAGCGGAGTTCGGATCATTCGCTCGCTCGCTCGAAGTGCTCGTTGTCCTAGGCACAACCATGTATATTTTTTGCTGTTCTCTGGATTATACTCATAGGTATTCGTGCGCGTGTGCGTATTAGCTGTATTCTCCGGCGCGCTTTTGTCAACAAGAACATTTGATCTATCCCCCGTCGCATGCATCCGTCTCATAACACCTCCCACCCCCTCGGAAGCGCTAGTGCTGATGTCATCGGTGCCCGCTGGCTACTCGCCGTTCCTTTTGGGGGGAGTGGGGGCGTACTAGCGTTTGGCCGGCCTGCCACGAGATTGTAGATGCGCTGGAGTCGGTCCGTGATACTCAACCAAGGCAAGACCGATGTCCGCAACCTCTTCATTGTGATGCGAATGGTACATGTAATTCGTTAGTGATGCGATAAATGTTGGGGTATCGCTGGCATCGACCGAAGCACTTAGTGCAGTTTTTTTTCTCTCAAGAAAGTAACCCGAGCGATTCGCGTGACAGCAGACAGTCCAAATCCAGCAGGTTGGCAAGCAAGTTTTTCAACATTACCCGTCGTCCGGTCATCGTTCGGCTGGCTAGCTGTTCGGCTAGCTAGCCGTTGTTGTGCAAACGGCCGCCTCCGAGTGTCGGGTCCGGGCGTCGCATGCATCTCACGAGGCGAGGTGCACGCCATGGAGTCGGGGGTGGCCACGCCGCCTTCGCACCGCGTCCTCCTCTTCCTCGAAGGAACCGACAACCGTTTGGTCTCCTTCCCTCTCTCGCTCTCACCGTCGGGTTTTCCGGCCTCTTCGGTAGCAGCAGCCCCCGTCCCACGTCCCCTGCGACGGGTTCTTCGGCGGGATGGAACTCCTGGGCGTCACCGCTGTCGAGGTGGACTGTCTTCCGGGCGGGTTCGAGGCTGATGCTGCCGCTGCTGCTGACCCTGCTGCCGATGTCCCTCGACTTGACGAGGGGGTCGTGAGAGACTTCGCGCGTCATGGCCGTTGGTATCGTGGTGGCTATCGTCTTGACGGAGTGCGTCATCGTTGTTGCCGCCGAAAGACCGCACGAAAGTTGCTGGGAGAACAACGGGTGGTGCTCCTCCCACCAATCCTCCTCCCCGAGACTCATCGCCCGCCGCCACTCTTTCTCTTCGAGACTTGTCGCAGATAGCGGTGCGGCGTCAATCTCTCGGGCTTTCGGCGGCGATGATATCCCGCCTCCCCGGGTATTGTCACCAACAACAACCGTGTCCGTACCTCCTACACCAGAGCGCATGGGCAACTCGTGCATCACGCCTCGCCGGTCACTATTAACGCTCTCTCCGGCAGAGCTCGCAATGCTTGCGGTGTCCTGCCGGAGCGGAGGCGGGGGGGTCGTTCCGGGATCACAAGCGGAGTTTTCGCACGAGGCCCACGACGGCAGCCTCGCCATCGCACTTCGGCCGCACAGCGGAGTGCGCTTCAGGATGGCGTCCTTTCGACGGGAGGTAACCGCGAAGGCACGGACGCCCTTGCTCTCCAGGTCAGTCGGTTCCATCACGATGCGACCGACGACACCACGATTTCCGCGCCCCCACCGCGGCAAGCCTGTTGCCGGTGGAGGGTGTTGTCGGCGGCGACGGCGAAGCCTGCGTACGCTCGCCGACGGATATCGCACGAAACCCCCGGCCGCAAGACCGGTGTTTTTTTTTTTCACAGTAGCGCTAGAGCCGGTGCCGTTGCTGCCGACCCCCCACCTTCGGCCTCGAAACGCGTTCGCCGTTCGAGTGACGGGGCTGCCGACGCTCGGTGGAGACGGGGCGTGGTGAAGTCCCAGCACCGCTGTCGCCTCTCGAACGGCTTGTTTCTTGAGCTGAACGCTGATTCCGACGAGTGGGGTAGGTTCGAAGAGTGGTGGACAGAATGTAGACAGACATTTAGTGGCTCGTGGACTCAACGACATGAGTTCTTTTCCATCCGGTCTTTCTATTAGAAGTACCGAATCCGGGACGCGCGGGACCTCTGTGTGCGACCTGTATGAACCTCGAACATGTACAACGAGTGCTTCTTCGGGAGAGGTTTTGCGAAAGACAGTGATCCGAGGATTAACCGAAAGCAAATAACTCCAACCGAGGTCTTCTGTCCCCGAAGGGAAACCCAGTTTTACGACGGATGTTCAGAGCCTAGGTAGACTACTCAATGACGTTAGATCCCATCCCTCTCCAAGACTCGTGATCAAATCACCTGCCATTGGGCCCACTGATTTTCTCCTTGCACTGGCTGGACCGTCCTCTACACGCCAGAAACGCTCGTCTAACGGCAGCACTTGTGGAGTACGGGTGCAACTCAGGTTGTAGCTCTACGGCGGCGCCTCGTGGAACTACCGCGGTGCCATCAGACGCAGTTTCCAACCTTTCGGCTTTCACCATGTCGCCACAACTTGGCGCAGGGCTGAAGCTTGGACGCAAGCAAGCACGGGCTGGCAAGTGCCGAGTGTTCTGGTTGCCAGACCTGGAGCTACTCTTAGGGGGTGGAGAAGGGATGAAAGAGGAAGAATGAGCAAAATGATGGAGAAGGCTGGTCAGTACCATACGTGATGGCGTTCGAGGTTGGAGCAACTGGGCTTTCAGTCGGTTGCCGAGGGGAGAAAGCGGGACGATAATTGTGGAAGAAGCGACGTGGGCATATATCGCACTTGTTATCTATCTGCCTGACGGGAGCAGCCAAGATTGAATGTGTACAGCGACCGGACAAACCCGCCGACCTTTCGAGAAGTTTTCGTTTCGCCTGCTCGGCCCTCTTGCACTCCAGTTTTCTTGATTGCTTGGATTTGACTGTCTCCTCCAGGAGCCGGAGCTTCTGGATGCGATCACTCGAAGACGCGGCGAGCCCTTCGGCCTTGAAAAGCATCTGCGCACGAAGAGGAACGAAGATGCTACAGACAGACGCATTGAAAGCATAGCCTGACGCGCAATCCCAAGACCAATTTATCATCCCACCTTGTTTTCTGAGCGCGAGCGCGGTCAACAACATCGGCGCCAAACTGCTGTGTGAAGCCTGTACGCCCACCTGAAAGGCGGAGCACATGAAGCCCGCCGTTCCTCCGGCGTCCAGCAGCTTCCGTACGACGACCTCCTTACGGAAAATGTTGGCGAAGTGCGCCTTGGCCGCGGCTAGGCCCTCACTTCTCAGCTCGTCTTGAAGTGTGTTGAACTTGCGCCCTTGCTCCTGCAGGCAGCAATAACGGTGATGGGTCCAACTGAATAGGCCGAAGAAAGCGATGCCCATCCCTATCTGCCACTGCATGTTCATAGGTTGTTGTTGTGGTCCCTAGCAATTATCACGGTGTCAGGTGGAGTCAACCCCTTCGCCGTGGGACGCTTTTTGGTGTGGTGGCTGTGCGGAAGCTCGGGTGGCAACGGCGAAGAGTGCACACCACATGGCGGTCTTCGTTCGCACGTGCGCGTTCATCCAGTTCTAGTAGGGAATGATCAAGCAGTATCACAAAGACGAACGGTTTACCCGGTGGGCCATGACACTGACGAATTGGCTGAAATCTACCGCCCCGCCGATTGACTTGGGTAGACCGGGTGCATGGAAGCAGCTGACGATACTTTCTGAAAGGTGGTCGTGTCGTGCTGGGTCCTCACTGAGCTCCACCATGCTGAGAGCGTTCCTGGTGCGAAATGGATACGACACAACAATGACCGATAAAACAACCGCGTTCGTGGGAAAAGATCTCGGCGAAAGCGGGCAGCTTTGTGACGAACACAACAACATCAAAGCGGACATGTTTTTCTATGGAGCATTCTTTGATCGGGTCGGTCCCGTGGGTCAACGGCACCCACGATTGGTGAACGAGGTCGCACCTGATTGCGATAGGGCTTATTTTCCCCCTCCGCTGAGCATCCAAGTGGTTGAAGATGAGTTGAAGGTCAATCCATCGGTCATCAGAGCCTTTGTTCGCCTGTGACGATTCCGGAAAAGTTGAGTGTGCGCCGAAGAAAACGTTCAAGGGGCGAAAGTATGACCGCCTCCGAGCTAATCAGTCTCTAATGGGAAGGACTGTTGTGAGCCACCACCCCACACGAATTTGAACTGTCGACAAGGACTCTTTAGGATGCTGCAGTAGCAATGTGTATGACATAGGGCAATCGGCGGTTCTCTACACCCGCGTGAGGAACATTTCACATTGTGTCGAAGTACCAGCTGACCCTCTAGCCGCAACACCTTTCTTTTCACTGCCATGCACCCCCAATCTAGTCCTGGTATTTTGTAACCGGCGCTTGCAATGCATACCCGGTAGAGCAGGCCACCCTTCCCTCAAGGGTGTACTCTCACGAACAATCGGCTTCCTCGATGTGCTGCAGTTACGCACCAAACGCAGAATTAATCACAGGGATATCAGCTCCCACCCTACAGCTTTTCTTGTCACGTACGAGTTACCATCTGCACCCAGCAGTGCACTTATGTCATAGTATTATTTTGTTCAGTTCCCCGTGTGTGAGAAGTGGACGAACAACCGCAGCGGGTTGAACCAAAACTGCACATGTTTGGCTGAGGATTTGGGTGTGAATTGCAAAATCCCACACGCTAGAAATGAGTGCAATCGAGAAGGGGCTCCAATTAACGTCATCATGCACACAACAGAGGTGACGGTAGCGTAATCTGTGGATCGATCAGTCCATTGAACATGAACATTCTTGAACCGAGTACAATGCCACGCCTGCATATTTGGCATGCCAACTTACCACGATAACCTCTGCCTCCCGTGTTCTTCCTCTCTCGCGCATCCATTTTTGGACCTCGAACCCTTCGATCACGGACATACGTAGAGTCTCCTGGACAGAACAGCACGGAGTGGTCCTCGTCAATTTGACATCACCGTACACCCAGCCCTACTTTCCCAAATAGCTGGAGCAGTCGTGGGCTCCCCCCGGCACAATGAATGAGCAAGGTTTGATGGTTGAGGGTTGAGGGGGGGGACTCGTGACTCGCAAATGATTGTGCAGCGTGCGGGCCAGTAAAATGCCGGTTCATCAGTTTCAGAACTTTTTTCAAACGATTATTGCGCCGCATCCAGTGAGTTTTCGCACGTTCAACGTTCAATCGTTCAATGCCTCCATCCATACACGTCGTGTGCAACTTACCCAGCTTGGTGGTCGATGAGCACAGTCATACGCCCTGATAGTCTCCGCCATGTGTGCAAAGAGCCCCTCAACGAGGTGCAATCGGTGCAGCTTCGTGGGCGAGGAATGACGCGACTCGTTGGACTGGATGCTTGCCCTAGCGTCACATCATTGGACGTCTCCTGGAACGCCTTGACGGAGCTAGATTCTGCATGTCTCGAAGAATGCAAGGAGTTGTGGATCGTCGATGCTTCCCACAACCGGCTCGTAAGGATACTTGATCGTATTTGGGGGAATGATATATTTCAGACAAAATACTGAAAAATCGTTGTAATACTTCACTTTAGACAATCTTTGTGTATGCTGCTTGTGACCCATGAATACCATCGTGGATCAGGCGCGCACCAATCACCCCGGTAGAAATATGTAGTTGGTAATCCCGACCATCTGCTTGTGGCCAAGTTAAAAGTTCTAATCAGGATTTTCCGCATTTCGAAACGCTCTTTAGATACTCTTTTGAGGCAAGGGAGTGTTCAAGCCTTGTACCGAGTTCATAGAGTCATGCGTCTCACAGGACCTTTCTGTTCGACCTCCAATAGAATACCTTCAGTACTTTCGGCAAGACCGAACGACGGAGAGAAACTGCGAGCAGCCGGCAATAACAAGGACGGAGAACAAACGCACGTAGCCTGTGATGAGGTTTAGTTTCAACGAAACACTGCTCATGTCCTATGCATACGTTGAAGCCCACAAAGAGCGTCCATCTATCCACAGTAACTGCTGGTAGACTGCTGTGGTCTCATGGTTAAACACCGCGAGTCATCTTGTGGAGCCCTGTGTTTGTCGCGCAGGAGTCCCTCGGTGGTTTGTCCCGTGTGATGGCTTTGGGCTACCTCAATCTCTCGAGCAACTTCATCCCATTGGACGGTCTCCGACCTCTTTCTCGCGCCCATATACTGGAGCTTTTCCTGGGCAGCGGCCGCTCTTCCAAAGAGCGGCGACGGACGCTCTGCGTGTTGCCAAATTTGTGGGTGCTAGACGATGAGTTCGTCACCGCCGAAGAGCGGCGGATCGCTGATGACAATCACCAACACAACGGGAGGGGTTGGGGGGCAACGAGCGACCACCTCTTGCCAACGTGGAACCAATCTTCGCCGAAGCGAGACAAAACACGGGACAAGAACAGCAGCACGGCGATTGCCTCGCCTTCCAGCATCGTCGTTGTCAAAGATGCGGGAAGACATCACCCACCGCAGAAACAAAAAGAGTCTGCGTGCAAATCTGGGTTTGTAGATTTGGAAACACAAGGCCATCTTACGCAAGACTTCTACGAGAACGTCGTGTGGAAAATCCCCTCCAGGTGAGGGGTATGGGGAATCGTCTTCTGTTGTCCAGACTGTTCGATGCGCGGGCGATTTGCACAGAGCCGATTGGGTGGCAAAATTCGGCAGGCCAAGTGCAGCCGGCAGGACCGGAAGTGTATCGTGGTCAATACCCAATACGTTTTCAGCCGGATAAATAGTCTGGTGTAGGCTATTACATCGAAACGGGTGTATCACGGTTACCTTGTGGATACGCAAGAGATCGACTGCATGGTCGACGAGAGAAAGGGGCGAGTGGATCCTTCTCGGTTTCAAAAGTAGGGCAAAAACCGTTGTGTCCTTCTTCCTGTGTGACCCCCATGACTGAGCCCAGACAGTACTGAGAGGCGAAAGACGAAACTGACTTCCAGCATTAAGGATGACACCGCGTGACACACAACTGTGCCGAGGAATATGGAGCACAATCACGACAAACCCAGGTGCAATCCGAACAACTTGAACGTAATAGGTTGCGAAGTTTGACAGTGGAGTTTCAACTGAAAATATAAAACGATCTATCCTCATTCTGGCGCGTGCACGAAATAATATAAGGGTGGATGCAGCTGATAGCTTTCGACTCGCCACACTCCTCGAGCGCTACGATCAGCGCGCGACCGCGGCGAACACGTCAAAATGGCTCGGAAGCTTTACTCGCGGAGGTGTTGGCGGCGGCGTCCGCGGCAATGTGCGACGAGAATGGTCTCTGCCGCTACCTCGCCCGCACCTGGAAGCGCTATTGTCCCTTCCCTTAGGGCTGAAGCTTGACGTCGCTGTGTTGTTGGCTGTGAGGGTATTTGCCAGGGAAAACGTTCCGCAGCAGGTGAAAGTTCAGGACCGCGAGGGCTAGGGTGGCGTGTTATTTGTGTCAGAGGCATCCAAGGTTGTTGAGCTGGGCCGAAGAGTAGGCGCAGATTGAACCGTTTGACGAGCTCTTGACGCGGCAACGACCTAGGCGGGGCTCACGGAACCACACACCCATAGGAGGCTCTTTCTCGATTTGTTTCCTGGCGTTGCCTTGTTTATCCAAAGAGGGATACCACCAAAACCCTTTCGCGAGAGATATACTTGCGGCTGAGTCGTGAAGACTCGTTTTCCCCTGCCGACTCTCTCCGGCGATTCGGCCTTCCAGGTTCTTGCAGATGCGTTCATGGTGCTCCTGGTGCCGCAAGCAAACCTCCCGGACTGCATACCTAAGGATCTCAGTCGAGTGCCGGCTTTTGTTTGCACCGCCCTCGTACACGCGCTGCGCTCGTCAATACTGCGCGAACTCGATCGAGTGAGAAATGTCCATGGCATGGCAAGACTGCGTGCATGAGCTCTACCCACTCATCATTCTTTCAAGGCGACTATCTTGTGAACGTTTCCCCGCATGCTAGGCCTGGTATATGTCTTCCCACGCAAACGTTCCCTCACTGAAGCAGTATTGTTCGAGATGAATAGCTCTCCATCGAAGCGAGAAATTGGCTGTCCTCGCCAGGACCTTGACGAGGGGCACTATATCGGTATCACGAATGTAACAATGACGAACGTAAAATTTCACGCGCCTCGACCCCATTCTTGCCTCTGCTGCCGTGGTGCGCTTTGAAATCCCGGAAGCATTCGATGCCGGGACGTGCTAACACGACGGCTCCTCCATTGATAGACAGACAGCAAAGAGACCTGCTCGAGGCCCTTCCCCCCATCGTCACGGGTGTTGACGTGGACCATGTCTTCGAGAGTTGGGAAGCCTCCTCGGGGCACGCGAGGGACTCAAACCAAGAGGGAGAAGCGGCGGGGGGGGCGGACGACGAGGCGGGAGCTACTGGCCTCGGCAACATCGAGGCATACGTGCCGCCGCGTGGATTCGGGCTAACGCGCTTGTGTCGGAGGGCGGTGATCCTGTTCACCCGAAGCCCGGCGTGTCCCGAACTGGTGGCGTGGCAGACCTCCCCGATGGATCAACCGGCTTACGACCAGATGGAGCCGCTCCTCGCACGAGCGAAACTTAGTCATGACGACCTTCACCCGACATCGGTGGTTAGTTTAGGCTGGTCATTCAGCGCGTGCATGAGGAATGCCTTTTTTTTTATCTGACGTGATTATGTTGTTACGTTGGGCGCGTTTTTGCTTGCATTGCCGATGTATGTGGGTCTCCCTCGTGACTGATCCATTTGACGTTTGACGGCCACCATGGTTTTCGGCAGATGAAAACGGCAGTCAAACTTCCCAATCAGCCCAGGCCGTCCTTCGGACCCCCAAGCCCTGCCGTAGAGGCGAACGAACTAGCCATACGCTGACAAAAAAACAGACGGCTATTGGCACCTTCCCTGTCTTCCCCATTACGACCTCGTGCTCTTTGCCGTCGCAGTCTTTCGGTGGGGAAGTTGATGGTGACCACAGGAGAGATGGATTGGGGGGGGGGTCTGTCGTGCCGTCGCGCCATCGTTCACCGAGGACCCCGTGTTTCCATTTCGATCCACTCCCGGCCGACGACGACAGAGGTGATCGCGGGGGCGTACATGCCACTCAACTGGCGGATTCGGTGGACAGTTTACCGCTGCCGGATGCCGGCTTCTGGCGGGCAAGCATTCGACGGCCGAGATCTGGAGAAAGGGTGCAGGTGAAGCTTAACTTCTGTTGAGCGGTGGGTGCGAGGAACGGTACGGAGTGCTTCATCAATGACGACACGACGGTGGAAGACACAACTGTGCGCAGTATGGGCCCCCACGAACTGCACATCGTATACCTGAACACCCTGCATGTGTTTTTGGTAGTATTGCGCCATGACCGTGTACAACAGAGTGGCGTGGTTCGGCGCGGGAAAACCCTGACACTAAACTCCCGATGTTTATTGCACAATTTCTTCCCTCTTCCCATGGACCTCCACTTCGCAAAGACCCGCAGGCAGCAAACAACAATCAACACGCCGAAGCTTACACGAGAGACTGGTAAGCTCTTGTTCCGGGGCCAATGGAATTACCCCTCTTCGATTGCTCCCCGGGTTCTGACGCATCGTGTATCCTGTCTCGACCCACCCAGGTCCTTTGCGATACATGGTCGGTGATCGTCACCGTTGATCCCGAGGCCTTCTTGGTGACAGTGGCACCCTTCGAAGGTATCCAAACCTCGGCCTACCGTGGAGAAGCGCGCATCGACTCCCGCGACCTCTACTACGACCCCCGGGGCTGGTGGAGTCACGTCCCCGCGATAGCCGGTAACGCCACGGCAGGGCCCAGTAGGTTGCACCGCCAGTCCCGCGGGCTGTCGGCCAGCGGCCTCCCTCGAGGCGCGGGGAGCTTAAATGAAGCGTTGGAGGAAGGGAAAGGGGACGAACCGTCTCAGATTCTGAACGGGCGCCCGTCTGGTGGAGACCGAGAAGTAGTGGTCGATTCGTCTCGGAACTACACGGGTGAGAAAAAAAAGTCGGGCTAGCAGGAGCCGCGTCCGGATGGGAGGGGGAGCACGGGTCTTGAGGTTGTGAAGCTGACTGGGTGGAGTTTGTACCTGATAGGCCCAATTGCGATATCAGCACCAACAGGCTTTGCAAAAATGTTGCAGATTCGCGTTTAAAACATCTCGCCGTGCGGTTGCTTTCCACGGCAGATCTTTTGCTTCCTTCGGCCGCACAACAACTGTCACAACCCGCATCATCAGCGGCGGCACCCGTCTCCAAGAGCCTTTCTCCCGCCGTGTCAACAGAACCATCGACGGCGAGGGGTTTGACGGCCTCGAGCAACGCCGCTGCTGCCCCCTCCAACCCGTCACCTGCTCCTTCGGTCCTCCGCAGCCATCGTTGCCCCAACAACAACGTTGTCGACGTTTTCAGCGCGGAAGGGTCGTGGGACCCCGTGTTCGTGGTGGCGCCCCCGAGGCTGGTGGGCCTGCAGAACCAGACGGCCGCTCGAAGGATGGGAGGACGGAGGGCAAGACAGGTTGCATGGTACCGCATCGACGGGCCTGAGGTACGCCGTGCGGGCCTTGCGCTACCCAGGCGACGCACCGGTAGAACAAACTCGGATTCCCCCCGCAAGAAGTTTTTGTGGGTCGTGTATACGTATGACAAGTGCTGTCCCAACTAATTTACATAGTAAAATACAAGCTTGCGAGAGGGGGTGGAGGACAGTGTCGGAGACCCGAGAATACCACTCCTTGGGCGCCATGGAACTGGCGTTGTGGTCCTCGCCTTGAGCAACGAAGACACGGTTCAACCCTCAAAATCAACTCGAGATTTTTTCCGAGTGCGAACATTACCTTGACCTCGTGGGGGCGTGGGTGTTACCTCTATGACTGATTGATTGAGTCCGGCCGAGGGGTGACGCATGGGTTTTGTCATAGTTAGGTTGAAGAGCAAGACTCGAACTTTGAACCGCTCAGGGGGCCTAGTGAAGGTGTTGACCGCAGTCGGGTCGAGTTCAGGGAGCCTAACCGAACCTCGGAATATCATGCTACCTCCGCCGGTCTATGGAGAAACGTTTCCCATTTTCCTGTACTCTAATACCCCACCAGAGAGCACGGCTTAATCACGACCCTATCTTGCCCCTTTTAGCTCGTGCAACCAGAATACTCTGCCGACCGTTACTCATTAGTGGCTCTATCTGCGTTGTGTGTGCCATCGCTGCTGCCTCTCCTTCCTGCCGCCGCAGGTATCCGTCGCGCCTCGACCCACGATGCCCCGCTGCTCTTCCCTCAGGATGCCCTTCCGAGTTGGGGATACACCTTCCCGTCATCTCCAGCAGTCAGCGTCAACCTCTTCGGTCCCGAGGCTGTCCAGCAAGCAAGCGCCCCTCAGGTTGGCGGCCGTGGCGCCGAGCCATGGAGGCGGCAACAGCGTCTACGCACGGTTTTCGCAGTCGAGGGGCTTGTCGGTACCTTCGATAAACACGAACAGCTGCTCGATGCCAGCGGCCAAGAAGCTTCCCACCGCTGCGGACGAAGCTTGGCTTGAGCTCCAGAGAGAAATGGGATCGTTGAAGGCAGACAACCGAATGCTCATCCGTGATAGTAGCCAGGGCGGCGGCGGCGGCGGCGGTGAGTGCATCAACACCTCCACAATATCCGCGTCGTCGCCAGCTATGTCGGTGGTGACGAAGTCTCTCGCGGAAAACTCAACGGTCGGCGCCCAGGCAACAACGGATATGTTGGCCAAGACTCTGACGCGAACGCTAGACAGCCCTCTATCTGCTTGGAAAGGAGGCAACACAGGTAGGTGCTCAGGTAGAGGGCGCGTACAGTAGATGGTTCAAATCGGCTCCGCTTGGGTGATTGACGATTGGGATATGAGGGCCTAGCCCAAGATCGTGTCACTTGGACTGGTGCAATCGGGTGAGACAAACGTGAAGGATGAGTAACAGGGAACACGGTGCATGCGACCGGGTTATCCCCTGGGACTGGAGCTGGCTAGATATCCTCGACAAACGTACCTGTACATTGTTTTTACGTTTTCACCCCCGTTCACCCCTCGTTGGGCACCAGTGAGCGCAACGGCGACGGTTTTCGAGCTGACGCAAGTGGGCGGTAGACCAGAGAAAGACGCGGGGGAATGCGCCAGCAGTCCTACCAGTGTTTCTCTTACACACGAGACGACGAGGTCGACAGATAACTGGCGGGTCGACAACCAGCAACAAGAGGTTTCCCCTCCAGAGGAGTGCTCGAAACAAGTACGGGTGGCAGAAGGAGACAAGCCTGACACCGCCGCATCCTCCCATCGTCGACGACGAATCCCGGACGACGGCAATTCCACGGCAGCGTCTGCGACGACCAGAAAATGGAAACCGAATGCTTTTCGGCCCCTTGAGTGGTTCCCCGTTCCCGGCAGACAGGTATTTCGTGTTGATCCCAACGATGTGAATGCAGCCCCCGCGGCAGAGCCAGTTGGTCGGCCAGTCGAAAGCGGCACGTCAAACACACCGAACGTCCCACCTGAAGGCCAAGGTGCGGAAGGCGGCGGCGGCGGCGGCGGCGGCGGCGACGGCGGCGGCGGCGGCGGCAACTGCGGTAGTAGCGAGCGCCAAGCTGTGGGTGGGGAGGATACCGTGGAGCAGGACAAGGCGGGAAGGCGGGGCGGTCAAGCGAAAGAGAAAATACGGATAGAGTCGGGCAAGGGGCAGCCGGGCAACGGGTCGCCCTCGACGCGATCACCCTTTCCCACCGCGGCCGTGCTGAACAATGGTCTGCTCTCTCCAGCAACCAACAGAGACATGGGGGTGAGGCCGACCATCTGGACGAGGAGCCGACGGGCGAGGTCTAGCCGGTCGTTACATAGTGCTGGTGCTTTTCGAGCTCTCGACAGGCAGAAACCCAACGGTCTCTTGGCCGACGCCTTACGACCGAAATCGCCCGACTCATTGGGCGTGATTACGAGCTTCTCGACGCAGGTGCGGTTGGAAATCGACCCACACGATGTAAGATCCAGAGGATTCCATCGCCGTGAGGAAGAGCATTGTCGCGAGACGCGGCAGTGCGTCGAAGCGAGCGACGTTTCCTCCGGGCTAGCGGTGACCCCGGGCGTCCGGCCAATGGTTTCCGGTCCAACCGGCCAACGCCCCGCTCGAACCAAGGCCGTCGTGCCACATTGGCAACACGACAAGAGACATCCAGCGCGACGACAACCTCAATGCCAACGATTGACGATCTCTGGGTGGGAGGGTGCTGAAGGCGCCGGCAGTACAAGTGGCGATCTTATGAGGCTGCCAACCTTCAAACCAAGTGAGAGTCCGGAGCTTGAGAGCAGCTGCAGGAACCTCGGCGCTGTTAGTGATAAGGGCGGTCCAGGCGCACCCCCGAGTGGTGGGATTCTAAAGAGCAGCTTGGCTAGAGGGAAACGTGGTGGGGCGCGCGTCAAGGCGCGGCCAGCGAGCCCTCATCATTCAGACAGCGGCTTGGACGAGTGTTTCTCCATCAGCAGTGCTGCAACTAGCAACAACAACAGCTGTTGCGGGTGGCGAAAGAGCGACAGCATGTAAGACCGGTGAAGGAGAGAGAGAGGTGGACGCAACCATCACGTAGTTTGACGTGCATCGACACGGTGGGAGCGGAGGTTGATGTCAGCGCTGTAGTGGGTATACTCTTGTCTCACAGGCTACAACGCCACAGTTGCTTTTCGGGGTTGGTCGCACCTCTCACGCAACCACTCTCGGCCATATGTACGATACGACTGTCGTTTTCACGGCCCTCTGCCGTTCTTCCATGATATTTTCGCGTTTTTTTTCAATGCTGCTGCCAGGAAAATGATCTGCCGCGCCCTGGACCTATTTCGTGCATGCTGTATTGTAGGGGGTCTCGCCCCTCTGACCTTCTCGCACCTAAAGCCCATCGAAGAAACAATCATCAAGACAGCTTTTGGCCTAGCAACGCCGGCGTTGCTCGTCGGCTTGCTTTCAAAGTAAAACAAAAGATCGTCGGATGCTTTGTAGAACAACACGTTGCATTTTGGCCCGATGTTCGCGGGTTCCATAGGCCAGCGGCAAAGGTGTATGTGCGTGTGTCCGGGGCATGATGCCCCACCAGAAGAAAGTATAGAGAGGTGGTCCATCCTGTTGTGTTTTTCGCACGGTTCGTCCCACGGTGGTGTTTTTTCTATTCTTCTGCACGCGCCCTCCTCTGTACGTCCCTTCTTTCGGTGAGGACACCCCGACGAGGTACGTATTCTTTTCACGAATTAAAAATGATCATCGTGTGCACCCCGGGGCTAAATCCATGGATGCAATTAACGGTAGTATGTCTACATTTTCGCAGACATGCCACATACATATATACGACGTTGGAGGATGTCGGAGGATGCAGAACTTGAGACTAAATACCAGTAAGTTATTGTAAACACACTCACTTACTTAAACAAAACCTACAGTCAAAGAGAAGCGGGTCACAGAAACACGGAAGACCTCTACACTTACTTATCGCGAGAATAGCCGGCGATGCTTCGTACATGACATACGTATATATATCTTGATCATAGGGAGGGCTCACGATGCAGCAGCCTCTGTATTTCCAGGGAATCAACAAACCGTTATCATCATGAATGCACAGGGAAAACGAATGGGGACTTTCCCACGCGCCCCTCTCCCCCTAAAAATAATCGTTCTTGCCTATTTTCCGGCGGCATGTATGTGTTTTTTACTGATGAACTGTCTCTGAACTGTACGTGGCACGACACTTGAGATTACCTGTGTGCAGCCAACCCTGGGGACACATACATATGGTTGATGACCTGCTCTGTTGTGCTCGCGGAACCAACAACAAGAATGACCGATATTGGGCGTACCCCACGCATTAGCCGCGGGTGGTGGGCGCGGCTGGTCGCCGTTGTTTTGCTTGACGCGCAACGATTTCATATTGTGTGTGACGTCATCATGAAGGGACGCCCTTGAGAGTTAATTCGAGTGTCTGAATCACCGACTGCAGTAGACTGCGGTGGTCTAGAAGCTTTTTGCAGATCTAGACTACTCTTCATCTACTTCCTGTGAAAAGGAAAAAGGTCTGACCGATCCAGGCTCCATGCATGAATTGCATAATGAGTTTTTTTTTTGTTTTCGCCGAGGAGCCCCCCAGGCATGCCTCTTCTGTGGTTGCCTGAGAGAGGACGTTTCCATTAGACGCTTGCCTGGGACGGTGTTTTCTTGCCTGACTGCTCTTACAATATTCCTGGCAGCTCCAGACGGCGCACGGAGAAAGACCACGCGACGTCGTCGTGCATACGAAATGCGACGAATCCTGTAAGGTACATTGAAATTTACTTGAAAATAGAGCCGGTAGAAATTGTCATTGTTTCAGGCCAAAGTTCGCCAGATGTATGCAAATGAGTGCCAGGCAAATGCCTAATTTTTTGCACCTACGGTGGGCCATGGTGCCCGTTACTGAGCACGCCTTCATCGTTCGTGACAGGCTTATCGGTAAAAACTGTGAGCTGACACACAGAACAAAACAAAGATATGCACACGCGGGCCAGGGTAGACACCGTTCCTGGTTCCTGGCTGCTCACAGTACCCACTTGTACCATCTGCGAACCCCCCGTGGGAAGACATTTTTTTCAGACGTCGTCCATGCCAACACTGCCCCCCTTCGCTGCCTGGCTGGGGTCGACAACGACTCCTTGGCCCCTCGCTAGACTCTGGTTTGAAAGCGACATCTGCATTCTGTTGGGCCCACGCGTACTCTCCTTGGGATTTTCACGCTAGAGGTCAGCCCGTAGCACAGCAACAGCAGCACAAACTCCCTCTCCACGCAAGCGGCGCTGGCTCTGCAGGGCGACGCAGCTCAGCTGCTTGGCACGGAGTAAGGGCGAGAGAGCACGGGAGGGCAGGAGAGGAAAGGAGCAGGAGGAGTGAGGAGGAAAGCCACGAAAGCGGGACGGGGGTCTAAGCGGGAGAGACGGCACACAGATGCGCTCACCACGAGCCAAAGGGGAGGTGGCAATGGACCAGGTAAGGGCAGAGCAGGGACACGCTATTTTTCCCACCAGCGACAGCAGTTGGCAATAGGCAACAGCGAGAGGGGACATGACGACAAGATTAAGATTTGGCGCGTACTTTGCGCACCCACGGTGCGCTGCATTGTTAGCCCGCTCTCCTCCGACATTTTGTGTGTGGTGTGGCGGTTGTGGGTGTGTGTACATGCCCGCCACCCTGTGTCGTGGTCCTCATAGGCATCTACATCTCCTTACACATGCACAAAATGTTCTTCGTCCTCTGCTGCGGGTAAGAACGCGACTTTCTGTCGTCGGTGTTGGTGTCACCAGCATCCGTTTGGGAGAGAGCAGCCAGCCGCAAGGGGTGCGCGAAAACACAACAAAAACACTCTTCTCTAGTACTGCTGTGGCACCGAACGCCGCAGGACTTACGCCAACTCCAGGCGCAAGAGAGTCCTCTCACGGGGTCAACACACCGGCACACACCTATTCGACTTTTTTTTAGCACACACACACAACCCGGGTGCGCTATTTACAACACGTGCTTCTGTCTCTGCCTTGGGTCCAGTGTACGCAAGGTAACTACAACTGGGTGTACTTTTTTATGCCACCACATCGAAAAGTGGCGCCCGAACAAAACCACACACGCTATGTAGAACACCAGCCGCAGCCATGCAGTTGCAGCAGGCAAACAGAACAGCTGGCATCTAGTATCAGGCAGGTACGGGCGGGAGATGTCATCAGCTTGCACCTCTTTCTTTTCGTACTGCTGCATGATTTGATCATCCATCAACCCTTTTTTTTCTACCCACACATGTCGGGTGTGGCACTGTGGCGTGCCCAGTGGTCTGCATAGCAGTTGTTTGTGTAGTATACTGGTGTCATATGCATGCATAGTGTTCCGTTAAAGTGTGGGGAGCGGCGCGCGTGGGATGGGAGAGCAAGCGCGCGCAAGCTGGTCGTCGACAACAATTGTCAGGCCTGTCTACCGCCGGGAAGCTTGATTGGAAGGGGGAAATGGCTGGTGTGACCGCAGGAATAATCGAGCGGCAGGAGAACGCCGGCACGCACACGTGCTTTCCTCCCCCCCCCCCCTTGCGCGCCCTGCGTGTATCCTCCCCGTATCGCAACGGTTATTGTAGCTTGCCGTGGTTGGTGTGGTGTGGTCCGCGTCAGGGAATAGTCAGCGTTGGTGCACCTGTGCACCTGGTGCACCCGTGCAATAACAGATCTGTTTTTGTTTCCCCCCCCCCTCTCTGCGTCGTGCTGTTTGTGTTTGTGTGTCGCTCTCATTCGTCGATTTTACGAGTTTACTACGTTATTGTCGATCTCTCAACCTCTCTCTGTTTCTCTCCCCCGCCCCCCATTCACACACACGAGCACGGACGTGTTTTCATTGGCCGGTCAGTTGGCGCAGTTGATGCCACTGCTGGAAACACACACTTGCTCAAATGACAATACTCCGTCCCTCTCTGTTTGGTGTTTGCTTCTATTTAGAATTACAGCAGTATGAACAGATTAGAAGTCTCTCGGCCGCCCCCTTGAAGTCTAGTTGGCACCTCGAACATTCTTCGACAGTACAGCAGCAATAGCATGGTCGACTTACGAAGCATTATCTTTCACCTGTAGCAGGCAGCCTTGAAGTCGTCACCGGGCAACCGCTGCGGGGTTGATAATACATGTGAAACGTTGCTCCGAGTTGTGTAGTGGCCCTGCTCGCTGCATGAAATGTTCGACTAATGGAAACAAAGGTCGTTGGAATGCGAAACAGTGCCCGACACGCACACTGCACCCTATTGGAACAGCGTCCCGGAATGAACTAATAATAGAGAGTGCCTAGAACAACCAACCACGTGCAACCGACATCGCTTTGAAACCATGTTCGTGTTTACGGCGTACCCTCATTGGCTCGCCGATTACCCTGGTCAATGTGGAGCATGAAAAGAAATGCACTCCTTCCCGAACTTCTCATCTACATACGTAATGTGCGTGACACACAATACAAGGTGGGCTGCAGTGAGAATGGCTTTTTTGTTTCTTGTTTTTTTTGCCTTCACTTCAAATCAGCGCTCACAGCACTATAATAGTGCCGTTTACTCCAACCCGTGGTCACACAGAGTGGCTTGCGTGGAATAATACTGCATGCGTATGACATGCATAGCTGGTAGGTTTCACTTCAGATCGCTCGCAGCTCTTGTGCCGTTTGTTCCAACCCGTGGTCACACTGAAGGGTTCCTTTCCCTGAGACCCTTTACGCACCCCTCCTGCGCGACGTTGCCTTCGATTTTTATTTGCGAGAAGAATGAAGCACTCTCTTCCCTATATGTACACACGAGCTAAGTAGCTTTCCACCGAGGCCAGGAACGGAAGCGACAGAATAACTCACTTTGCAAGAAAAGTTCGCTTACGCCGGCATTCGAACCCCTGGCCCCGGCCACTACTAATCGCAGCGTTCGTCACAATGAGCCGTGTTTTCCCCTTCATCCCAGGAGGGAACGAAAGGCTCTAAATATCGGGCTGTTCCAACGTGATGCGATACCCCAAAGTTGATTACGGGGAAAGCCTAAATAACCCTCCTTTTCTACCAAACAAGACGTATTGGGCACCGATTGACGCTCTTTTTGGGTTCTGAGGAGGAAGAAACATTGGGCACTGTACGTCACATCGGTTTGGTCGTGATGGCCATGCTGCAGGCCTTTGTGCCGGAATTTCGGAATCGATCCCTCACTCTAACCCCTTGAATTGGCGAGTTTATTGGGGAAGGCAAAGCGGGATATCTCACACGTATGCACGCGATTCAAACCAAGGGAGAAACAGAGGTGCCACTGCTGATAATGTCTCGCACATTCACGGAATCACACCCACCCGCCGTGGCCCAACCCCTTCCGTGTGCGAAGGAACAGCAGCAACAGTTACACAGCAGGGAACACAGTGTTGACAATGCATTCTGCTTGCTTTGGAAAATCTCAAGATGATGGGGCGAAAAAATACGTAGATGGGAGGTCTTTTCCCCAGCAGCAACAGCAGGAGACAGCAAATATTGAGGCGTTTGGTGTTGTTGACGCAGTTGCAGCGTAAGACTCAGAACGTTAGGTATGATGTGTTCCGCGCCGGACGAGGAAACAAGCAACACCGCCTCCAGCAAGCGAAATGAATATCAAGGACTTGAGAATTGAATTTGATAATGATAACGAACGGTTCATGCGACATAGCGGGAACAATAATATGCGTACATGGGGCGTTTTTTTTTTTTTTCGGAACTGCTGTGCTCCTTCCTACTCCCCCCACCACCCTGCCCGATGGGCTCTATCTAGTGTGTTCGTGTCTGCCACCATTGGTCAGTTATGCCTGCGCCAGTGCGCTATTAGGTGCCCATCGTTAGGCGGTACAGCTGTACTACTGTAGCAGGGGCAAGTGCGTCGCGCGGCGTGCGCGTGTTCCGCCGCCGTTGGCGTTTTAGCATTCGGCTCTTCGGCAGAGAGCGGATGCACCAGTCTTGAAGACTCGCTCGAATACTCCGGATACGTGTATAGAGTTTGTATGAACTGCGTGAGTCTCCGCGCGCGTGTGTGGCTTTTTCCTGGGAGCAAGCGTGTCTCGCACAGCATCGCACGTAGACTACTGCAAAGTATGGAGTCGACTGCGCGGCTCGTTCCCCCGACCTTACTAGTGAAGCATCTCTCTCTTTTACTTCACTAGTTGTTTTGTTACCAACACGCATTCTGGTTGGAGTGGGTATCCTGTTAGACGTAGGTGCAGAGGCTACGGCTTCGATTTTGTCTTGGGAGTCACCAATGTGCAATTCTGCAGTGGAACGCATTTTATTCGCGAGATGGTATACATTTAGTAAGCTATAGAAGCTAATGTGCTCGCGGTAAGACTCGAAGGCAAGCATGGCAGGGCGACGTGGGACAATAAACAGAAATAGTATTCCCTGTGATAGATGCCTTCCTCCTGTGTGACCCCAGCTGATGCGTCAGAGTATATTCCGTAGGTTTAGACTGACGACGCCCAAAACGGAATGCGTAGACGAAAAAACAACATACACGACGCATTGTTTGGACAGTTGTGAATTAGCGGAGGCCCTTTTTTAGTGAAGTGCTTCTTGGGAAAATGAGAGCCCCGTCCGCACCGTAGCAATATCCTCGAATCAGGCACGAAGGCACAGTCTGGCGGGTGCTCCAGAAAGCCTGTGAACAAAATGCGCGGGATTTATGCATATGCATGTATCCAGTAGTATCATACGTAGTGGAAAGCAATATTTGGTCGTGAGTAAAGGCACCTCGGTGACTGAACCCTTGTCTCGATAACAACGAAGGCAAGCACCGCGAGGGGGAGAGTGGGGCACTAGAAATACACAAAAAAAAATGAAAAAAGCTCCTGCGTGACCTTCCTTGTGTGACCCAGGCTGATTCGTCAGGTACATACGCCGAAAGGCCTGTAGACTGGCGCTGGAATAGATTGGACGAACACACACACCGGGTTCAACATGAAGACTATCGGCGACGTCCAAGAGTATTACACTTGACGATCTATTTACGACATCACTTTGCAGGGGGAAGGTCTCCGTTTCCTGCTTGATTTCACGTTGTTATCGGTATGCGTCAGCATTGCGCGGCTTAATTTAGTCGTGTCGGGACTGTCAGCTTTGGGGAGCAAAGTGGGCTGTAGTGCGTGAGCCAGAAAGTGCGTGATGACCTATTGCACTTGTACCCGGCCGTAGCAGATGGCACAGCAGACTAAAATGGGCAGCTGCGTCACGAGTCTGCTCACGGACGTTGCTTCCAAAAGCGCAAGCTCCACATACGGCTCTTTTTTCTCCTACTGCTGTTGCAAATCGATACACTCAACGGCATGTGTTGCGCCGCCCACGACGTGGAACCACTTGGTTCTGGACCGGACCGGCCTACAGTATACGCACTGTGCTGTCGATGGCGTCACAGCACGAGCGCCGCATGCTTAAAAGCTTCCCATGCCGGCTGGCAGTTGTCCCCCCACCCGTCCGGCCATCCCGCCGTCCGGCCGTCCGCAATCTTTGCACCGCCTTGTGACGGTTGCTGGTGCTGCTGCTGGTGCTGCTGCTGTTACGAGTGACGTCGACTCCCCCCGTCGGTTGATTCGCTTTCTTCGGCCGGCGGCAGGCGCGGTTCCATGCCGTATATTGTGGAAAGCACACCATTGTTAGGTCTCGCAAGATGTCGGGGTCCGTGTCGGCGTGCGTGTTGGTACCCCTTTTGTTGGTTGCGAGGGGCCGCGAATTATTGATTTTGACAGTCAGCCATCGACCGGGAGAGCCGCTGGGGAGATGCTGATGTACAGGCATTCGGATGCATTCGGATGCCGCTCTGCAGTGGTGACGGCAGCGGTTGGCGGGTCGCGCGCTCGTCAAGCGGGTGGCGCGCCGCCTGAGCTGCACAATTCGCTTCACCCGTGCAAGTAGTGGCAGGCAGAGGGGAGAAGGCGAACATATTGCTTCGCTTGGTCTCCGCCTGCGCCTCTCTCTATCTCTCTCTCTCTCTATCCGTGTGCTACAATGACGCCTCACCCTTCTCTCTCCAGAAGTGAATAACCCCGCAGTAGCTCCATCCACCCGCTTCACATAGCAGCTACCGGTAGCGTTGAGCGTGGTGAGGCAACCAACAAAGTAATGATGCGACTTTTGGTGCGAAATTATGGGACAGGTCCGAGAGACGATGACGGCGGCGATCGAGCTCTCCGCCGACGGTTTCCTGCAGCAAATCAACGAGTACGAGTGCATCAGGGACCTCGGATCGGGAGCCACAGCCGAGGTTAGTGGCGCCGGGCTATCTTGTTGTGCTGTTCCATGTACCGCGGTGTTTTCCATTCAATTACCCCGTGCAGCAAGCTTCGCCAGTGCTGCTGTTCCACGAGTGGTTTGCGCGTCTCCAGTATGTTTCGCACGACGTTTGTATGGCATGCGGGTTTCTCTGTCGTCTCTTTTCTCTACGCGTGTTTTGCGTTTTTGTGTTGTTTTTCTTCGTGTTTATCGGTCTCTCGATGATAAATCATGCCCCCCTTTTGTTCTTTTTTCTTTTTTTTTTCCGTGTCGCAGGTGAAGCTTTGTCGAAGGGTGGACAACCAGACGGGCGAGGAGGAGTGGGTGGCGGTGAAGGTCTTCAACAAGTCGCTGCTCAACCGACAAGCTAGGGGCTTTGCGTTCGGACGGCGAAAAAAGGACTCAAAGGTGGCTTGACTTGACCCTCTTCTGGAGGAGTCACAATTTGATGGATTTGGCAGTTTCGTTTTTTTTCTTCTGTAGACGCAACCAAAGTGGCATCAGCTGACTGGCTGGCTGGTTGGGTGGTTGCCCGACAGTTTGTCTCCTTTGGTTGACTGCACCACGAGGGCGTGACGGTAGGCCTCAGGAGGGGAGGGGGGATGGGAGATTGTTTGTTACTTGGACAATCGCTGTCCGATCCAAGATGGAACAGTTGGACCGTCGCCCGTTCCTACTCCGAAATTCAGTCGCTGTCAACACGGAGGTGCTCTCGAAATCGTTTCTGCGTGTTGCTTGTTGTCCTTTTGTCTGCCCCAAAGCTAACAAGCATGAAACGCAATATATACAAGAGAATACGTGTACACAGTCGCTCACATACGCATGTTTTTTGAGACCGCGTGGTCGTGAGAATGTTTTCTGCCTTTCATCTCTTGTCTATGGTGGTCGCTAGCCAAACCACGTTTCGTTCGTGCAATGCAGGCTAACCTAACCCTGGCTAACTCGAAGCACGCGCCATTGGCTTCATCTGAAATTTTCTCACCCACACGCCCACCTACCTGCCTACCCACCCGTGGCGTCTGTAAATTTTTCCGGCGGTCCTCCCTCCAATGCCCTTCGGGAATGAAATGCCCTTCGGGAATGAAATGCCCTTGGGGAATGAATATCGGCGCCATTTGGAAATGGACGACGCGATGCCATGGATGAACGCTGGCGGCGGTATATATATATTAGAGAGACTCGCAAGTGCTGCAGAACGTCCGTCGTGAGGTGGCCCTGATGAAGAAGCTGGTGCACCCGAACGTCGTGCGGCTGCTGGAGGTGATCGACGACCCGAAGAATGATCTCCTCTTCATGGTGAGTTTTTGTTTTCATATAATATGGGAACGGGAGAGATGGGGGGGGGGGGGGGGGGGGACCCCAAATCCGGGCAGCCCGAATCCTTAAAACCTTTACCCCCGGGGGGGGGGGTTAAAAAAAAAAAAAATGTTAAAAGGAAACCCGCCCCAAAAAAAAAAAAAAAAACGTTTTTTTTTCCCTTGCCCCCTTTTTGGGTTTTTCCGGGG